TCCTCATTATATTACAAGTTATAATAGATATTATTAATCTGTCTCATTCACTATCACAAGTATCATTAACATCCTAATTTTAATTTCGCCCTAATTTTTCTTTGCAAAAAAAGATTGAATTAGTAGAATTGGTAAACGACACAAACCAACACACCTCTACTTCTCATTATAATAGGGCTAGGCAACCTCGACCTTCTTAAGTATCATCATTAATTATACAATTCCCAAAGCCAATAAGAGTTTGTGTGGCCCCCCAAACATTAGATTGCCATTGGATTATTTAAATTCGATACCCAAAAATTATGATATAGACTGATGCTCGAGTCTAACATAAAGCCAGCCAGCACACACTGGGCGTTGGACTCTTCTCTTTGATTGCAAGCCAGCAGGGTACCAGTAAACCATTGCACCTCTTCCTATATGCAATTCATGCATTAAATGAATGTTATTATCAAGCTTTTTCAATGCATATATGAGAACGGATTCAAATCTTCATATGTGGTTAAGGTAGAGAAAATATACAATTTTTATAAATTTAATTATGAGCCTTATAATTAAATTTTTATTTGATAAAAATTGTATCTTCCTTCCTCTAATATCATTTTACTTAATAGCACAAAAGGATCCAAAGCCATTGAGGATTCAAGAAAAATAATGTGTATAAATGGTACAGTATTTGCGGTCCCCGAAACCAAATGTTTGGCGTTTCATGTGCTTGGTATGGATGACATTGCCTCTTTCCTAATGTGGACCTAATCTTTGTCCTTCAATTGACCCTTCTCTCTTATCTCTCTTTGATCCAAAAGAACCTAAAGGGTAAAGATCAAAGTCCAAACGTGTCTCCTATGTAATATTGATCAGATATATGGTCAAACTAATTTAGAGATCCATAAGTTGTTCAAAAATATTAACAGTTACTTTTTAAAATATATTTTCAACATATTTTCTGTAATTGATTAATTTTTAAAAGTCCTCAAACACGTAATTTATGATTTGATTACTCTTTTAACATTGTTTTAATTTTTCAAACATGAAGTGTGTTAAAAAATGTGTTCAAAAGAATATATTATTATTCTTTATGAATTGTTTTCCCATGGGAGGACTTTATGTAACCCATGAGTTTTATTTTTTTTTTCAGCTCACATTCCATTTGATTTGATTTTTTCTTCTTAATTAAGTAATTTAGTGAATCTATTTAAATTTCTTTTTTAAATATACTCCAGAGAATCTATTACGTGTATTGAACTATCGTTTTATACCGTTCCTACTTTCTTTAGAGCATTAATTACATCACTTTCAAGTATCAATTTTTTCTTTCTTTCTTTTCTTTTTTATGTGTTTTTATCTTGTGGTAGCTGCTTGAGATGGATGGGTAAGTAGTTGTAAGAGAAACTTGAAACTTAAGTTAGTGAAGCCATTAGAACCGTAATTTGAAAATGGATAAGCATAATATGCCTCTAATTCGCATGGTATCACTGCTAATGTATGAAACGTGCTTTGTGGAATGGGTGCTCTGTACAAAGATTATCGAATATGTAGAAAAAAAGAAGAAGTGAATACTATTCTGACATTGTTAATGTCATTCAATTAGTAAAGATGTAAATGTGTAAGTTAAGTAGCACCAGTTCTATTTTTAAGATTTTATAAAATATACACTTCTAGAAATAGACTATTTACTGTTTATTTGGTCTTGAGTTATACACTGCCATTTTAGTTACATGCATATTAACTTATCCTTATAAGGTATTCCAAACCACATATGTTTAAAATAAAATCACAATAAGTAATTATACGATTAAATTAAAGGATTAAACCTTGTAACAATGCCAGTGAACTAAACCTCTTTCTAAGGAGTACATGGCTTATTGATAGCAACATATTATCACTTTTTGCACATCGACAAAAGTAAAGGGACAAGATTGCTCATCAGAAATAAGATGGGAAACTGAAAAAAGCAAAGAAATTTGCATTGGTTGGATATTGACAAAGGCTTTTTCATTATATTAAAGTAATGTCCTGCATTGAATTGGGCGAGAATTGGGGAGTAAATGTAAGTTTTCTAATAACCCACTTTCGTCAGCTTCAACACATGTTTAGATTTTGAAGGATCCAAATAGGCCATTTTGGTCAACGTAAAACATGCTTCAATAATTCAATTCAATTCAAAGTGGGGTACAAGGTTAGGCTTAGAAGATGTGCCATGAAGTTGCCTCGTTCAAGGTATCTTATGTTTATTTATATGCTGTTGAGTTTTATGTCATATCACACGCTTGGTCATTTTTATTTTTATTTTTGTATTAAAAATAACACATACTCGTTTTTTTTTTCTTTCACTTTACATAGTAACTTGTTTTTTTATCTAGAAATATAGGAAATGTGTGGAACAGGTCTTCTATCAATAAAGAAGACACACTGGCCATTTATTTTAAGTTTACAAGCTTGGTCAGACACTTAGAACTCAGAAGAATGCAAGAAAAAATAATTGGAATATGGTAGGAAACTCATTAAAAAAAACTACAATTCATCTATGGCGAAAAAAGCTTTCTTTTATTTGACTATTATCGTTTTCTTCAGTCATCAAAACACAGGCAGCTATTGATATTTTATTGATTCTACCTGCTAAACCCGACAAATAATTCAACAATGGATTTTGACTTAAAAGGGTATATATCTCCATTAATTCTATTATTTAAAGATGAAAATTAATATTATATAATTATTTTTTAGTTTTTTTTTCACATATACACATTTCAAAAAATAATTATATGCATCAGTTCACACAAGATTATTCTAGTTTAACTAGTAATCTCGATTTCAAAACATGCATAATTGTATTACATGCACTAGTCACCTAACACAATTTTTAATTATCAAATATTGATATTCAATTTTATACGGCCAGAGTGTTTCTTTTAACTTTTTAGTCTTGTAGAGTATATAATTTTGGACAGAAAACCAATCTTATTCAAGAAGAGTGAGCTTTTATTCCCTTAAACCCGTACCAAGTTTACAAACTCATGCTTCTTCTTATCTGCTGAGTGTAATACATTATATGATGAATATTATTGGGGATCATGCGTAGGTTGTATCTGCAATTTCCCACAGTTCGAACTGCACAAAGTAGTATTGAATGAGAAAAAGCTGCATTGGATATGATCAAACCAATCATAAAGGTTTTGTATGATGTTTTGTAATGCCACCCACTTTCTACTTTGTTGTTGAATGTGGTGAACCTGTTCACATTGTTTCTAATATATATTTATTACAAAATAGAGTTATTGTAGTTAGACAGGAGAGACGTATGAAAGAGTTTACGATAAGTTTGTGAAATAATTTATTTTAATAATTTTTATGATTAAAATTATGTCATAAATTTGTATTAATGAATACTTAATTAAATTATTTATCAAAATGTTTAACTAATCATTTCAATTAGGTTATATAACTCATTTAATTCTCCTATAAACATGACCAAACAGTACACGTTCAGGCTCGTTTCTGGTTTTATTTTTTTATGTTCTTTCTCATTTTAAAAAGTATAAAAATAGCAAACAAATCTACTTTAAAATAAATAAATGTACATAAAAAAAATAAACAGCTAAAAAAATTTTATTTAAATTCAGCTACAAACTCTTACAAAATTTTCTTAGACTAGTATCAATCAACTACGAATGAACAGGAATTGAACACCTTGGGATCTCTTACCAAGGAAAAAAAATTCAACATTAAGATTTATGAAATTAATTTTTCTAAAACGAGAAAATGTGTAAAATAAGAAAATATTTTATCGTTGAGCATAGATAGAAGGCAGTACTAAGTTTGCTAATAAGTGTTCACTACAATACTAATTGAAACAACTTTAAGATAAAATAAATACAGATTTTTAAATATTTGAAGTTGTTAAATTTTACAAAATAAAAGGTCAATTTAAATTAAAAAATAACATAAAAAATACTCAAAGAATTTCACTTAAATTTTATCATTAACTTCAACGTACTGGGGATCGACAATGAGGTCTTACATGCAAAGTTACTTGGAACTCTCAATTGTGAACGAGTTCCGATAAAGTAAGTAACAGAAGCTGAGTTACTGTTGATTTAATTTTGATCCAACTCACAATAGTCTAATGATCTGGCAAACTTTTTAATAACAATTATTGTTGTAATTTCACTATTTAATAATTAACAAAACATTATTTCGACAAATGATTTTCAATTTTAAAAATGCATTTTTTTAGTTCATAAATTGAGGATAATTTTTGCTTTAAAGTGGAGTTTGAACTAACCTGTTTGACCCATAATTCCCAGAGAGTTGAACTAAACTAAGATTTTAACCCACAATCAACACTCTAGACATCATACTTGTGTAATTTAAATTCCTAATCGTTGTTAAAAAGTTGGATTGGTTCTTTTTTTTAATAAGCAATTTTTAGGAGGGCTCAAAAATACTTTACATGTATCTAGATGAAATTTTAAATTAAAAAAAAAAACTCTTCGTCTTTCAAAATATATATATATTTCCATATTAGCCTTCAAATTTTTTATTGCTAATACCTAGTTATTAGTTCTTTTGAAAGTTTTGCTTCTTTTTACACTAGTCTTTTCTTTTTTCTTTTGTTTTTTGTAACTAAATCTCTTAAAATATAAAATGACACCATATTGCTCTTTATAACTCCCACTCCCCCTCACTTTTCCGATAAATAGATATATAAAATACTTTAACTTTATTTTATTTTACACTTCTTAGAAGAAAAAAAAAATTCTACTAAAACGTATACATAATCCTCTTATTTTATAAATATGTTACTCTTAAACTCAACTTTTACTTGTATAAAATTTAAAGACCCGGGTTTCAGTAAAGCCATTCATATTCATATTGTAAAGTAAAATAGGAGTATTATGTAAGTTTTAGAAAGAGTTTTGTTTAATAAGTGCAATAATGAAAAGGAAGTTGAATTAATTTACTTAAAGAAAGGAAAAAAAAAAACAAACTCTTCACTGCAATTATGAACTATCGGCTTATCTTTTTCTGAACTTCCAGAAAGAAAGGGTAGTTCCTCCATGACCATAAAACAAATGAAAAGAAAACAAAAGAAAAAAGAATGGTATTGAACTGTACACACCACATTGGTAAGAGCTTGTCCAGTCCCATATTCATCCACAAGAATCTACATTCTAACATCTACAGCTAAGCTATAACAAGAAATAAGTATATAAACCATTCCAAAGTAACTGGTTCCTGCTCCATGTTTTTTAATGTAAAAGGTGGCAGGCATCAGAACTTACATAAGCTCAAAAGAATGCAAAATTTCCCAGTTCACTTATGTTCCTTGTCCTCGAAATTCACTGCACAAGTTGGCTCCTGCCATTCGGCTTAGAATCTGGATTGTCACTCTTATCTGTATCAGAAGCCTCCCTCTGGGTCTCTAGCTCTATGTTTCCGGCCTGACTCCTTCGGCGTCTTCGATCCTGAAATGTCACTCACAAAGTTTGATAAACACCACATTCCAAATGTAAATTTTAAAATGGAATAGGTTGCTTCAAAGGGGTCCCAAAATCAATGTCAGAAAAATGAATTTTCCAAATGTAGTTTCTTTTTTATTCACTTTGTTTTTCCCGCATCCTCCCCCTTTACTTTTGTTTGTCTTTTATGTGGTTGTTTCAAGGAACAAAATATAATTTCATAGAACACTCTTAAATTTAGGCTTAAGCCTAACTCAACTCACTAGCTCATAAGTTGAGGTTTGTCTTTAGCCTTTATAAGCTCTACTTTAACCATATTTGTAGTCAATGTGATCTCAACAAACACAATCAAATTGGAAACACATTGTGATGTTAGAGATAAGAATCAGAATTCGGACCTCTCGAGGTATAGGATATTCCTCTGATTCAAGCATGCGGACAACTTGGCTCATCCTTGGTCTTTTTTCAGCATCTGGATCAACACACCTAAGAGCAGTTAAGAGGGCTCGCTTCAGGGCACTTGTTGATGGCCTAGTCTCAATGTTGGGGTCTACCACCTCTTCTGAGCGCCGACACCCTACCATCATCTTGAGCCAGTCAACCAAATTTACCTACAAGAACCACGTCATAGTATTAAGGAAAGTAATGATTGTAATGAGTCAAAACTGTTGGAATAGAAAGAAAATTATGAAATAAATAAAGTTGCTGTGTACCCCAAACGAATTTTCTGAGGCGTCAAATTCAGAATTTTCGTTAAGCCATATAATAATAGTAAGGCGAATGCTAACCAATGCCCTAACCTAGGACATTAGTCAATAAATAAAAAACGGAACGTTTTTATCAAAAAGTATTATTAATGCATTCTCACCATGATTTCTAATGCACCTCCAACATGATTTTCAAACAAAAACTTTTTTATTTATTGGTTAAGAGCCTTTGCGGCACTGGTTAGCAAGACCTTAATGGAAAAGAGAATGAATGTTCATAAATACAAGAATATTAGAGGATTTATGATTTCTCTACAAAAATGCAATGACACACCTCAGCTGCTGGTCGGCCATAATCTACTGGGTCTCTTCCTGTAATTGCTTCAAGGAGCAATACCCCAAAGCTGTAAACATCGCTCTTCTCGTTTAGCAAGCCAGAGTTGGCATATTCTGGAGCTACATATCTGAGAAAATGCAATTGCAAGCACAAAAAGAAGAATCAGCAAACTAGACCAGTATAAAGAACAAAGAGGCAAACTTTGTCAATTTTAGAGTGACAATGAATGTGTACTATGGTATGGTTGAATTGAAATTTAGAGGGGACACTTTATAATAATTTTTTAAAGCAAAAGGGAAAACTTGATCATTCCTTTCAAATGGAAAGCCAAATAAGCATATTCTGGAGTGATATATACCAAAAATCAAAATTGAAATGAAAGCATGAAAAGTAGTCAACCAGAGACAGTTAATTTGTTAAACCAAAGTGAACTACTTTATACTATGTATGGTATGCATGTATTCTAATTATGATAACAGGTATGAGACCACCGAGAAAAAACAAACCACAGCCCATACGTAGAGAGGAAAAAAATCCTTTTTCTCAAGATAGAATCTTAGGGATGCCTTGTGGAAGCCCCTGGGCTTAGCCCTACTATGACCAAAGAAGATGGTTTACTAAAGATAAAGAAAAAAAGACTCCATGAGCCAATTATGCCACTTCAGCACAAGGTCTTTAATAGCCTATAAGAATTCTCACAAGGGGAGAGATGACACTTCTCTTATGTGGGACACGGAGAGATTATTAATATAATACAACTTCTCAATTTGCATCATAAAAATATAAAAAAATACCAAGTATGCAGTCACGTATGTTACCAAGCCTAAGTAAACATTTATATAGAAACTAATTCTTAAACAGAAAACAATCAAGTCCAAAATTTGTAAACAAGCAGCTTACCCAAAAGTACCCATAACTCTAGTCGTAATATGACTTTTTCCAGCACCCAGTAACTTAGCCAGCCCAAAATCAGATATCTTTGCATTAAATTCATCATCAATTAGAATATTGCTGGACTTAATATCTCGATGCACAACTTTTGGCTCAATTGCTTCATGCAAGTAAGCCAGCCTACAAGATAAAATAATCAGAGATCAAAAGAAAATTCACCAAAATAATAATAAAAATAAAGTCAAGACAACTAGTAGATTAATCTTTTTTCTTCTAGGAACAATGAGCATACGCTTTGGCTGTTCCAAGGAGAATTTTTATCCGAGCATCCCAAGTAAGAAAGCCATGCTGCCGCATGGCTCCATGAAGCCACTGCTCCAAATTGCCGTTGTTAACATACTCATAAACCAATAACCTGAAATTAATAGTGGGTTCAATAAGAATGAAATCAAGACATACATGTCAATCACCAATAAATTCCATCCCAGAAAAGACTTCTGAACTTAATTTCTCAAACAATTAATAGATTTGTAATATAATAATAATGGAGACATTAACCAAACGATAAGCTAAGCTGTCAGTCAAATGATCAAATCAAGAAGTAGACATGCAAACAGTCAAACACACGCATAAAGTGCAAACACTAAACAGTTTGTTACCTGTGAGTTCCTTCAATGCAATAGCCCAAAAGTCGAACCAAATTCTTATGCCGTACATGCCCAATAGCCTCAACCTCCACCCTGAATTCCTTTTCAGCTTGTCCTCTGCATGATGGGTATCAAGAGTCATTAGATAAACTAGCTAAATCTACAGACATCCTGATAAAACACAAAACATGATATTCTAAAGCCTAGTCCAAATTTTAAAATAAATATGAAGATTGCAATGCAACTAAACAAGCTAATGAAAAAACTTACAAATTATTGAGGAGCTTTTTAATAGCCACAGGACTCCCATTGATTAGTTGACCTTGATAAACAATTCCATATCCACCCTCACCAATAACATTGTCTTTTGAAAACCTGTTTGTTGCAAGTTCTAGGTCCCTTAATGTAAACCAGTGTCCCCAGCCAAGGTGAGAGAATTCAGGCAGACCAGACAAAGGGGATGGTGCAGTTATAGGATGTGAAGAAGACCTGTAAGCAGAAAAGCTCTTAACACCACTTTCTTCACCTGATTGAGAGCCATTAGCGTCTTTCTCTAAATGAGTAAATGAGCCTGATAGACTGCTATTATCCCCATTCTTTGTTTGGACCAAAACTTTTTCAGACTCCCTGTCACCAAATTTGTCATTCAGACTCATAAAAGCACCATTCTGTGGATGATTATTTGCTGAAACTTGATCAACTTTTATTTCTTTGATATCTTCCGAAACAGATAACACATGGCAAAGGGGAAGTTTGCCATTGACTCTTCTGGACTTCTTTCTTAAAGTAAGACATATTGATAGCACCACAAGAATTATGATGATGAATAAGCCAACTAATATTCCCATTAATACCCACACTTTCAATCCAAAAACAAATGTTTTCTTGGACAACCCGGAATTCAGATCAGACGCCATTTTGCTGCTGCCAAATAACTCTGCAAAAGTTCAGTGTGTTAGAATATAAGAAAGCACCCAGATGCATGCAGCAAATCAAGCAGCAAGAAAAAGCATCTGACTAGACTAACTAAGGTTATATGTAAGGAAAGAAAACTCTTTACTGGATTCCTCAAATCTCACACCATGTTTGAGTAAGTTAATCACACATCCAGCAAATAAAAAATTTCAGCAACAAACTATATTATATCAGCTACCATGTGCAGAACTAGCGGAGAAAAAGCTGGTTACATACCAACAGAAGTTCACTACCCTGAGAGAATGAGGCGAAAAGTTCAGAAAAACAAACGCTGCATTTTGGTCAAGTATTCACATCCCAATAAATACATAGGAACCAGAGAAAAGTCTGACACTTCGATTTCAAACTTATTGCAAAATACAAAATAGTAAGAAGCCAAAAGAGCATAGAAACAAAGAATAATGATTCTTAAATAACGCTTGAGCACCAAATAAGCGAGAAAGACTGGAACTTTGTTCTCTTTGTACCCAGGAAAAGATAATCCCAATAAAATTTCAAATCCAGCTAATCCAAAATAATTGAGCCAAGTTGCTAGACAACCAATGAGAAAAAAACAAAAGAAGGAACCATCATTTGTTAACGTCTCCTTGGTTTTAACCATCAACATTGCAAATTTTCTTTTGAAAAAAGAAACGCATATTAAGTAAAAAAGAAGCAAAAACTCTTTGGAACTGCAAAAAGGTTCAATGAATACCTGTTCACAACTCAAATCCTGCGCGGATTTCCTCAGCTCCTCCTCAAAAACTGAAGCAACTTAAACACTGGATCTCTTATGCTCCCTAAAACCTCTTGGGTGTGAAGCCATGGGAGCACCCCAAGCTCAAACCCACTGTGAAAATCTTACCAATGTGAGATTTTGCCTTCTGGGTTTTCTCAAATGCTCAAAAGGGTGTCTGTTTCCAATCTGAAATGAAACTTCAGAGACACTTCCCTTCCTCCCCCTCCAAGCCTTGTGGTGCTGTTGGAGGGAATTAGAGAACACAATAGGCACATGAAATTCTGAGAAGAGGCAAATGGTGGGGTTAATATGAAGGCATGGAATCATCAGTGGTAGGTGATGGGAAGTGACATGACTCACATTACATACAGTAAAAGAGAAGGCATCAAAATAGAAACTTTCTTTGCTGTTTCTTCAAATTTCTTCACCCTCCACACTCTCCTCCTTTCACTCTCTTTCTTCCTGTTTCTGTCTTTACTATTTCTCTTCTTCATATATTATTGATACTATTTATTATTATTCATAAATGATTTTAGCACGCTAAAATTTTCATATAATTATTATTGCATGTACTATATAAATTGATAATAGAAAGAATAACAGTAATATGTTAATAGTTTATCTATAATAGATTACGAGTCCCTGACTTAATAATTAAGTCATCTTTTATTAATATGAAAATAATGTAAAAAATATATATGTCCAATTACTGGTTATTCTAGAAAGTTTTCATATCACAGAACCAATAGCACATTTCAAGCAAATTTTACATGTAATGCCAAGTTTTTGAATATCAGAATTGTTAACTTTTTAATAATTGGTAAAGGTGAAGTAACAGGTGTTTGATTAATTCATGGGAAACAAACACTGATATATAATTTTATCTAAACTGTATACGACAAGCTTCGTTTTTTATGAAAAATTTCATACCATTGAATTGCGTAAATTACTAAATTCAATTTTCATGTTTATTTTATCTTATTTTGTTATTATTCGATTCAGTAGGCTGGATAGTCAAAGAAACAGACTGGACACCACATCAATTTTCTCATAGTCCATAATACCCCTATCTAACAATGATTATTCCAGCTGTGTCCATGGATGTTCATCACCCGTAAACTGCGTCCAAACATTCAATTCTAGTTTCATTTTCTAACTTTCCTTATTCAAAGGGGACAAACAAACAAAAATAATATATCAAATTAGTTTTTTAAATTATCATCTTCACTTAATTTAATTTTTAAAATTAGTAAATAATGATTGTTTAAATTACTAAATTGATATAATAACAATTATCTTGATTGTTAAAGCTAAAATATACAATAAATTAGATTCGTGCCTTATATGTATTTTCATTTCCAACGAGTTAAGTTGAAGTAACTTTTTTTCTCTTTTCAATAAACTCTTTTTGCAACAAAATATAGTGCCTGTAACCAAAGCAAAAAAATATCATTACCATTTAATGTACTATGAAGTTATGCATAAAAAAAAGTCCATTTCAAAATAAAAAATGATTGTGAAGATAAAAGCACCAAATCAAGAAAAGTCTCAGTGCATTAAAAAAACGTAAAAACTAACCTTTAATTGGTAAACAAATAGGTCATAAAATTATATATATAATTTGATGCATTATTATAAAAGGAAAGCAAAAGAGAGAAAAAAAGCTCCACAGGGAAAATCAGAAGGGTCCAAGCAACAAAACTTTTGCTGAAAGCAGCACTTAACTACATACCCAATAAGGGATGATGAAGGGTCTTCAAAATGTTGCAGAGGAATCACTCTCTCTTGAGGAGGAAGAGGAGCAACACGTGAATGAGTGAAAGGGAAATAAAGTCACACATTTGCAATAAAAAAAATGTGTCATCCTTAGACATTTTTAACAGAAGGCTACAATACACTGTGTGGAGTAATGATTGGTTCCAAAGACCAAAGTTTGCATACGTTGCTATGACACACAAGCCAGGCTTCTGTTTTGTTTCTGTGGTCCCATTTTAAGCAAACTTGTTCTCTTCCTCTTTGTTTAAGTGCGTTTTCAAGAAGTGCTTATTTGAACCATTCTCCGTTTTCACTGCCATGTGTCCATCCAAATAGAACATCCTTGTGACTCAGCAAGACGTGTAGTTTACCTATCTGTCTCTGTTGCATTTGTTTCAAGCCGTAGAATGCTTCATATTGCTTCACGTTTCAATTTAGTTATGAGAATTGAAAGTAACCCATAACTTATTTTTTTAATACGTTGTTAATTATTGGTTTTTATTTATTAAAATTTATAATTTTATAATTTTTAATAAATTTTAACTAATAAATGAATGAGTTGTACATTTTGCATTTGTATAATAGTGCTTTCAAATTTACATAAACTATTTATAAGTGTGACTTATATAAGGTATGTATATTTATAAGTATGCTGCAGCTATGCACTCGTTCTTGTTTATTTTTGTGAGCCCACAATGGACAATGTCTGAGTATCACAAGCTAAAATCTGATTTAATTCAATATTTTTCTGTATTATTTATTTATTTGTATCCCTTCGAGTAAAATCTTTATTGCAAAAAAGTAATCAATCACAAGTTTGTTATTTTAATTTTTATTAACTAATTTAATTTTTCATTGATCAAGCTTAGTCATTTAATATAAAAATTAATGATCAATTTTTTTCTTTTAATATTTCATAGATTATATGAGTGATTGAAATTTGCTTTAAACAAAAATGCACGTGCCCATGATTTGTTCATTTAGTGAGATATATATGTGGCTTTCACAGGATTATTATGAGCTAGTTTCAAACCAGATCTTACAATCCTGATAATTATTTGGTTTAACTTTCTATTTTTGCTTTAATTATGATTTATAATTTCTTACTAATGCAGTCCTTTTTCATCAATTTAAATTAATGGGGCCCATAAAAAAAGAATAGTGAGTGTGTAAATATTCTGTCACAGCACAACTTTTGTTCTAAAGCCTATTAAAGTGGGAGGTCAAGGATATTTAATTGCAATTTAACATAAAGAATCTCACGATTTAGAGAAAATTTGCAAATGCTTCTATATCAGTGCAAGTGATTTCGCTTCTTCCATATTGTCCACTAATAATCTTATATATATTATTCCGTTCACCAAAAAGAAATCTTCTGTATAATCAATCTTTATTCAATAAAATAGACTCCTCACTTTTTAAGAAAGAGAATATCGATTATATTTTTTACTTATGACATATAGTTTTATTATTATTTAACACTTACTTCCGTTTTCTATACATTCTTAGATTACTGTTTTTAAAAAAATAATTACTAGTAAACTTTTCTTTCTCAGTTCATTCTTTACCTCAATTATGTACTGCTTATACACTCAAGTTTATTTCTTCTATTATTCTATTATAATTCGTTACAGAATTGATATGAATGAAAAGAAAGGTGAAAGTTTATACATAGAAGGGACGAAACAGATAAATAGAAGGAAATGTTTCTTCTTTTGTACTAATAAAAAATGAAGGAAGAGTGTTTTTGAACAGACATATTCCATAAAGGTAGCTGAGATGGATAAAGAGTGTTAATTAATTAGGAATATGAGTGATACATATGTTTGCATAATTGCATTGGTGGATGTTGATGGAACAGTACTTGATTATTTGAGTTACGTGGTTGCACCACTTTATGTCCTCTTTCTGTATTCCAATCATACAATCAAATGATTGCTAGTATATGTATATTAATTTACTCCACTCCTGTTAACACTGGATTTCTACAAGTTAAGTATGTTTTCTGTGTTTGATGGATATTATAACCATTAAAAAATGAATGTTTGAATCATTTATTAATGAAAATGTGAAAAAAATATATATATTGACATAAGTTAAATTCATTATTATTTTAATTGTCTATGATTTTGAGCTTTAAGCCAGGGGTTTGGAAACAAAATTGACAGTACAATTTTGTCTCATAAATAATTAAAAGAAGGTTAAATGTAAGTAAAAAACAATAGTTTAATTCACCTTAAACTATAATTAACTAGTAAATACTTGACTCTTCACATATAAAAGTCTATTTAGTTAACTTATGAAATAAAATTTACACAAGTCATGTTTGTTTTATGATTTTTATAAACACTTTTAAATAAAAATTATTTAATATAACTGTCTAAATAATGTTTATCTTATTTTAGAAAAAATATAATTGAATATATGGTAAAAGTCTCATATGATAAAAATAATATTTAATTAAATTGTGTTAGCTACTCATAATCTCAAATGTACAAAATCATAGCGCGAGACAGATAAGAAAAATAAATATTTTCAAATCAAACACGAAGAGGCTATAAACCTACAAATGAACATTTATACTTTATGGGGGTTTCTTAATAAGTGGGAAGAGCTATTAAATTATTTATGAACATAAGGGGAAAATATGTATATCAATTTATATTTATTATTTTTACTGAAGGGAAGTTTATATTTATCATTTATGAAAATAATCCATGTTCCAATATTCCAACAACAATTTAGTCACTCATTGTTATTGAACATAATAAATTTGACTTTTCGTGATCTCATGAAGTTGACACATTTTTGATTTTGGATGTTGTAGGTGTTAGTTCTGCTTCTTTTGTTGCTTTCCCCATTTACCAAAATATAGTTAATATAGCTTATAAAAAAAATCAAATAGCTGATATATAATACTTAATAACAATTTTGGCAAATCAACATAATTAAAATTTTTATTTCTTATATTCTTCTATACCTTATATTGGGTAACTAAATAAACAAAGAGGCATTGGTCATAGCATATTCTCACAGATAAACTAAACAATTGTTGAGCCCTGTCTTCTGCCGACAATTTTCAGGTTGGGTTTTTCAAGGAAGCAAAATGAAGAGTCAACCTTTCAACCACATTTGCTTTGTGTGGTTAGATTTCATCACAACTTAGGTTCAAAAAGAAGTGAGTTTTGTACTTTGATGAAATAAGAAATAAATGAGACGTGTGCACAAATCATTCACTTCTTTAATGCATTCAGAATCATTTTTACCCAAAGAAAAAAAAAAGTACCCCTCAATTCAATTTATATCTGTTGCTTGCCCTATGTGTCTTGACCCTTCTAAAGGGTCCTCCATGTCCTAAATTTTCACTGCACAACTGCTATTGGGACCCATCCTAAAGTTAAATATTCTTAAGGGTTAACAAAGTTGTACACCAAGACAATACTTGTTTAAAAAAATAATAATAAAGGGGAAAGTCTTCAGCATTAATTAGATTAGACCTAGTCATAAACCTTCAAAAGCAAAAATCCCTTAATCAAATCCAACTGAACAAGATTCAGACTAGGACTAAAATATTGCATAAAGAACAATCATAATTGGATTATATGGTCTACCAGCATAGATTTGCTTTCAATTAAAAAGTGACTATCATGGGACTAATTCAAAAGATTTGTTCTTAGTCCATGGATAAGAATCTTATGGTGTTGGAAGTGAGGTCCTAGAGGAAGCTTTCCTAGAAATAGCTAGCTCAGGTATTGTGCCCTGATCCCAGTTCTATTGCAAGAGATTCTTCAATCATCTGAACCACTAGGCTGGAAATTCTGGATGGTGGAATGTCAAAATCTAAATGTGGCTGTGCCTTTTAAGACATTAGCACTATTCAACATTGGCAAGTGTTATGCAACAATATCATTCTAGTTTAATGGCGCATTTGAATAAATAATTCTTTTTGTAACATTATTTAATAGATTCTCATTACATAAGTATAATAAGAGCTTATGATATGAAATTCATTAAATTTTTAAAAAATTGTAAAATTTGACACTATTTTTATAAACTATTTCAAATGTCCTCTTATGCCACTGTTACTAATCAAATTGTGCATTTGTGCTGGCTGCTAGTTGTTGAAACTGCTTTTTCTATTTCGTTCGTCTATTTTATATGCAATTGTAATAATTATATAAAAATGAGTTTCCATGTGCAGAATATATCCTAAACTTGTCCAAATGCAATTGTTTAGTAGTTAATCAAGAGGTGCCTCTGGTTCAGGCTTATTTGTAACTCTCTCTTTTATTCATGTATCTTAATAACTAAGTGAAGAAATTAATAGTTTTCCATATTTACATGATATTTTTCCAATTTTTAAGGTAGTAGGTATTTGTTATGATGTTGACCACAATCTCTTACCTAAAGATGTGTTTGTGCAGATTGAAGGTATCTTAGAAGTTCAATAAAAATACTATATGTCTAATTATCTTTAGCCTTCTTGTTATTAGTTTCGTTGGTGAAGTTTCAAAGTCAATAAAAACATTAAAAACCATATACCTCTACCAGCACGTTTTAGTTTTTCTTTTCTTTTCTAATAGGTGTTAAAAAATCATCATCATCATCATTATTATTATTATGTTAACAATTTTTTAAAATAAAATAATAAAAATTTATTATAAATATTATCTAAATTTCTTAATTTATATATATATTTATCCTCTTCAACTTGTCGGTAGGTGATTCAAGGAGTTTCATGATACACGTTGTGCAGATAGGAGCCGGCGCCAGATTCAAGTCTTTGTTTTCTTAAAAGGTTTCACACACACACAAACAAAAGTTTAAACGACAAAATTATTAGTTAATTACTAATTATTTAATAGATATTATTAATTTATAAACAGTAACTAAATGTTTTTCTTAAACAAATTTTATACTAATATATGACTTTCGTACATATTAATAACTGATTATTATTAATCATTCTTCTGTAACAAAGGCTAAATATTAATTACTATTTTTAGATTTCCTTCTTGTCACATGTATATGAAATGTTTATCAATTTATTAGTATATCAAAATGGTTTCACAATAATTTCAGATAATTATGAATTCTACGCATAATAGAGGGATATTGATATAGAAAAGGGACAAGTTCCTACTTAAAAATACATCTCTTTCATTATTAATTATTAAACAAATGTTCAACTTCAAACTTTAAAGAAAAAGATAAATTATTTTAATACAAACTTCTTAATTGTATAAATTTTGGGCTAATCTGATACAGTTGAACGATAATGGTAGATGTCTAGTCAGTTATCTTCAGTTTAATTGATTAAATCTTAAAACATCTAAAAAAAGAAAAGCATATATATCATACTTTGGGTCTTTTATTTTCAAATTAGATGAGAATGACAAAAGAAATTACACCAAAGACGACTCAAAAAGACAAAAAAAATAGTCATCAGCACTTTCTATGTATCTACAAATTTGGATTTGAACAAATTTCAATAACCAAGTTGAAGTTATTCTTCATCTATAATGCTGAATTCAACTTTAAGTTACGTTGTTTACAAACTCAATATGTTAATACTATAATCAAACATGGATTTCACAAAAGCTAACTTCTATGATTATGTATGATATGACCATCAGATAATCTCTACGAGCATTGCTGATAATAATAATAATACTAATAACGTAAAAGTAATTGGTTTTCTAATTTCTTAAGTGGACAAGATAATAATTTTTTTGTCACTAATCAAACCCTCTTTATTTATTTGTGTAAATATTTTTTTAGTTAAATGATGATTCAGTTATAATTAGACAGATAATAATACAGCATTTACAGTACAACAATGTATCATAACAAAGCTATTATGTAATACTACAATATAAAGTAATACAAATTATTAAATGCTGTTCAAAGAGAGATAAACTAAAAGCATTAAACAACTCTTATTAAAAGTTAGTTTCTACCAAAAATAGCACAACATAAATAATTGTTTTCTTTGTTTTTTGGTCAATCATAAATTTTTCTTGATGTATAAGTATTAAATAGCTCTTTTCTTTTTGTCAAAGGATAGAATAGCAGGAACGAACGCACCAAAAACCCTAATCCCTAAATTTTTTTTTCTTTTTTGCTGTAGGCTAATTCAATTCCGAACTCGATAAGAAGCCCCATGCAAAAAGTTTTGGGTAGGCTACGTGAGCCCAATAGCATAAAACGTTAACTGTATTAATAGGCCTTGTTCACAATGTACTTATTTTAAACCCATTTTTAAAATAATAATTAATAATTAATTACAACACAATTTTTAAATTGAATTAGACCAACTTATTCAATTAACCAGATTCAATGAGGTGAGTCACTCGACTCCAACAATATTATTACTTTTAAAATATACATGTCATCTAATTCAAAATACATATATAAATATAATATAATACTTTTATTTATTTATTTTTAATTTAAATTTAAGAAAAAGTTTTAAAAAATTATAAATTATTTATAATTTATTTTAATAAATTTTAATATGATATATTAAAATAAATCAAAATTGGTTTTGAATAAAAAAAATGGCTTGATTTTAAAATCTAATACACTGATTAGAATGAATTTGGCTTAGTTTTATGTCAATTTATATATATATATATATATATAGGGTTGGAAATATGTTACCGGGAGATTTTGGTTTTGCAGTTTTATGTCACGATAATGGATTCTGAAGGATTGGAGAGAGGGATCGAAGAGTTGAAACTGCAGGAGAAGGGTGAAGTACATGCACTGGCACTGGGTCAATTACAGGTCACTAGCTTTTCTGAACTTGTCAATGATGTTAGCCTCCATTTTCAGATCATTCGCTTTCCCAAACAGGTTTTCTCCGCCATCAAACTCTCTTATTTATGTTTCAAGAGATTCGCTTCTTTTTTTTTTTTTAAATCAAAACCCATAAAAAAGCAGTATGTTTCTTCAATTGGGTTATTCACAAACATGGCTTTAGACCAATTCCACTTTTGTGATCACTTTTGGTTAGGAGAAGTATGAAATTTTGATAAGACATTTTGTGCTATAATGCAAGTTATTATCTTTCAAAGCTTTGATTTTTTATTTTTTTTTTCTGCTAACATTATTTTGAAGTGAATGGTTATTGTAGATTTATGTGTGGGTTGGTTACAACTCTGCGAAATTGGGACACATGTATGCAGCAGCTACAACTCGTCCTGTAAGTTGTCTCATTCCGTTAAGCTCATTATGAGTATGTTTCAAGAATATACAAGGATCACTTTTTGTGGTGTTAAATGCAGAACAATATGGTATCTGTAACTTCCATACTTGGTGTGGCTTCTGATAATACAGGTTCTGGCATTGCTAATCGATTAGGTAATTATCATCATGTTTGCTAGTTAGAAAATTATTCTCCTAGTTCATGAATTAACTTAATTTGTTATAACAGTGTTGAAGACCGGTCTCAATATAATTTTGGCTTGTAATATTCCGAAAAATAGCCCCATGCTTGAGGTCTGGTTTCTCTTTCACTTATTCACAGTCACACATGCATGTTTATTTATAAATTCATTTTAAATTTCTCTACATTTATTTATATTTTTTGTAAATTTCATGGATTGCAGATCGAAGCTGAGAAAATATTGGTACAGAAACTCATTAGTCTGGGCTATACCAATTCAAGATTGGGAGGAACATCTTTGTAGCATAGGCCGGAGAGACTTTATATACATAACAAAGGTGCATTGTCCCAATGTTTTTAATTAATTCAGAAGCCATGGTGGCTATTGAAGACTTGAAGCATTGTTACTTACACCAACTGTTATCTAATAGGTGTTTGTTGCTCGTACCTCTTGTTTATCTTTGGTGCTTGCATATGAGAGATGTTCCAAATGTTCATAATTACAACCTAGATATTTTTCTTCTCATGCTAGAGCCTTCTTTGGGTAATGATTATGATGCAGCATTACTAGAGCAAAGACCCTCATTTTATTTTTCCTTGAACCTCTTATCAATCTTTGAGGGAAACCATATTGGAGCAACTGCTGCTAATTATGATGTCAATTTTAAACTAATGATAATTCATCATGATATCATGCCTGTCCTACCGTGTATGTTCATCCCATCAGGTAGTAAAATAATAGTCACTTTCGCCTCTCTCGAATAATTCTGTAGAGAAAAAAGAATAAAGAAAATTTGATACTGGAGGCTTCAAGTGGTATACATTTGCATGCCCTTGATAGTAATGTCAATGATATTGGTTACAGATCTGTCTAGATAAATAATTTTGGTCTCTATTTCAAAGTGAATGACAGTTTTATATGTCTTCGCACCAAAGTGGAAGTGGGTTCCAAAACACTTGATTTCGGTCTCTACAATATACTGTGTGGAGTAGTGATTGGTTTCAAGGACCTTATTTCAACCACTTTTCTTTTCCTCTTTAAGTTGAAGATGCTCTTACTAAACCTTTCTTTGTCTTAGAAGTAGCATCTACTTCACTATATCATATTGCTATTGCACCTCTGTGTTGGATATTTAACAGCACTGCTCTAAATATAATTTTAATTCTTATAAAATAAGCCATTTTCTGTTTTCATTCCTAATGGCTTGTATTAGGATCGGCCTGGAGGTTTTGTTGCCACATTCATCCATGGGTGATGATGCACTGATCTTTGGTGCATGTGAATCTATGTTGAATCGGTAGAACCGGGTTGGTCGAACTAGGCCAATTTTTCATAATAGTTGAATTTGGTAAAAAAAAAAATTATGAGTAGAGAATCGAACACCTTCGTAATTTAACAACATTGATGATGATTAGAGGGCAATGTTGCGTCATTGATGCAGTTGGACTTTGGTTTTAGGTGCGCCAATGAATGAACGAAGGCCCAAGCTTTTTGTAACTCTTCTGTAAATGCACTTTTTTTTATGAAACTTTTTATTTCAAAAATACTCTCAAAACCAGTTTTCTTCTTTTCTGAAAAAACATTATTTTTGTTTTAGAAAACTTAATTTCAAAAGCAATTAAAATCAACTTTCAAAAAATTTATTCAAAGTGTTTTTAAGAGCTTTTGAAGTTTCCAGAATGTTATTTCATAAATTATCAACTTTCTGGAAACTAGTTTCTGGAATTTATTTATAGTTCCAGAAATATATCTTCAAACTGGATGAAAGTACAAATTTGAGGGTAGTGTGAATAGAAAAAAAAAAACGGCAGATTACTATTAACACTACCGTTTTTTGCTATCCTCGCCACATGTTTTATTATAACTTCTGAAATTTAATTTAAAAATGCGTTTAATAGCTTTCAAAAACTATTTTGCAAAAATGATTTACAAATGACCGAATTTGATTTTTAAAAGTAATTTTATACCTTCTAAAAATTAAATTCCATAAGTCATTTGTAACGCCTTTATTTTCTTTATTTAAAAATAAAAAAAAATTATGGCAAATAAAAATAGATTCATTTCTATTCATGGAGTTAATAATAAAATAAAGACAAAATTTTATATTTTTTTATAAAAATTTCATAAAATTTTAAAAGAAATCAAGCCTCCAAAGGTAAAACTTTGAAATCTTAAAATAATAAAATAAAACTCAACTTTACTTCTATTGATTCATTCAGTTCATTTTGAATACATATAATTTTTGAATTTTCACCAAGAACATTTCCAAAATATTCTTTACAACTAAAATCTGCTTGAGGATTTAAATTCTGAAATCTAACATTAAAGTCATTTACAAATTTTGGTAAACTCAAATTATAATTTAATAAAACAATACAATTTCTCAAATGACTTAGTCCCTATAAAACAGTCTTTCTTCTAATACTATTGGATTATGATCAGAGGATGGATTATACATCTCCATTTCTTCACTTTTATTACCTAAAAATATTAGTAAAAGTGAGTATCTCTCGTCCCACTAAATCTCTGGTTTAATATAAACAAAGTACTTACATGTATGTATTGTACTACGAATATTATGTAACATAAATTAAATTAGCATTAACCCTCAAATCATTCAAGTTGTCATTACAAAGGAGCACACACAGAACAAACAATCAATCATGTTCATCACTTTATATCATGCATCTTTTTATAAAAATACGTCATAATACATGTATTATACCACGTCAATCGATATGTCACAATACATCTGTCCTAATTGCACCCGTCGATGTATTACAACACATATATCGCAACAACATCAACTGACATGTTACAATGCATATATTATAACCGTACGACTCTTATACTACTTCATAAACATCACACTTTCACATTAATTTTATTTTCATATCCAATGCCTCTAGGATCCTTTGAGGACTTCATAGTTTAGATAGTCGTCGGTTAGCCGCAGCAACACGGATACACGTGTGCCGACCCAACCCCTTCTAGTAAAGGTATAGTTAGGAGTCTCGTCAAAAAACGAGTGTGTGCCCTGTGAATGCTTCCATTTTCAGCAAATCATTGTGCACTTGTTCACACTTAGCATTCACCACCTTTATTTCTCCAAGATTTTTTCAATCTTATCCGGACTCTATACTCCTATTTGTATTTATGTAGCTATCTAAACTCACCACTACAATTTCTCAATCCTTTACACACCCTTTGATAGGGCATGTGTCATAATACGTGAGTCTTGACCAAATAACTTGACATATTACAATACATATATTATGAGTACATCCTTTGAGTCATACCGCAATACCTGTATTGCAATCACATCCATTCATCTATTTCGACTCTCGTATTATAATCACTTTTTTCAGCATTTCAATTAATTCATTCATACATGTGCTCACCACACTTAACCATGCTCACTGTGGCACCGTGAGCACATTACACAAAATATTTTCTTTATTTAAAAATAGTCAAACACTCATATCAATAACATAATTTCACTTATTTGGCATACCCAATTATCAACAACATAAATATATCATGCTTCAAACATCACAACATTCAGCAATTCACGGAACCACTAACCAACTCATTCATTCACAATACTCTAACACTTTTCATTACAACCTAGTTCAACCAATATCTACATACCACAACCATCAATAAACACTCAACATAGAAATTCTCAACAGTTTATACATCACACAAATTAATATAATGTGCCGGAGGTCGAACACCTCCGGACTCAGCCCAATCATATGATTCAACATGCACATCTTCTCAATAATAATAATAAAGTTGTCTACCCTAGGACCTAACATAATCCATTATTCCAAAAGCATCAAATAGCATATTCCGACCACTCCTAACAATGTCGACTTAGTAAAATCCTAATGTTCCTTGAAAACCGTTTTATTTAAAACCTTTATTATAATTTACATTTAGATAATTATTAAGTAGGTAAGGATTCCCCACTTTGAACTACCTAATAGAGGTTAGGGTTTGGGATTTACTCTCCTTACCTTAGAATGAAGACCCACCATGAAATCAACGGTAGAAACACCTCTCACACGGGTTCTTGCCCTAAATACATGGAATAATCCATGAGAAATCAAGAATGATGAAGAAAAAGTAAAAAATGAAAACCTTAACTCAAAATACTCACCTCCAAACGTTCCAAACATGATTCCAATCTTCAATCTAGGGCACCAACGACTTAAGAGGCGATTTAATCGGTGAAAAGGCTAGGGATTGAAAGAACTGACAATAGAAAATGAAGAGAAAATGAAAAAAATACATTTTTCTCAACCTTAAACCCTTTAAATACACAAGGTGTCGCAACATTCTCGCTACAGCTAGGGGACCTCACTACAGCGACATCCTCTCTCGCTACAGCGAAAATCTCAGAGGAAATTGCATTTTAGTTTCTGCAAAATCTCGCTACAACGAAACTCTCTCGCTACAGCGAGACTGCACCTAGAATTATATCATAAACTGTTGCTTTGTCGCTGCAGTAAGAGACCTCTTGCTACAGCGAGAACACCCAATTATTACACACTTAACCTATTTCTCAGCCCAATCAATCCAGTCCAATTATATATAAACATATTTATATGCATCCATATTCATCTCACGTATACACATATATCTACCTCATGCATTCACACTACCATCCAATACACATCATCATCATATAATTAATCATACAAACACATGGAAAACTCCATATATATAGATATATAGTAATTAAAATATTATTAAAAATCTGGAACGTTACATCATTTGCCAATCATTTTTGAAATTTAGTTTACAAAAGTATTAAAATACTATCAAAAATTAAATTCTGAAAGTCCTAATTAAATGTATGGGGGAGATAATTAAAAAGATGGTGTGAATAACAATCTTGAAAAATGGGTGGTTCAAAAAAAATTGGGCCATGAAGAAAAGGTGATGCCACTCCAAGTAGTGACGGCTAAGAATTAGGTCGCGGATTATGTAGTCGACTGGATCATAGAGTGACAATGAAGACTTATGGGAAATACTGCATAGTAGGAGCATGACATGAACTTTGAAAAATGAACCCCACAATCATTGAGCTAGTGACATTTTACTGTTAATCTTCAGTCCCGAAATTTTTCCTTAGGATTGACAACATTTAGATGCCAACTTGACACGCCTTCTATGGATTCATCACTCAATTAACGTCATTGGACCAATCATGCCTAATTTGGGCGTTTAACAATGATTTCATTGAGAGTGGATTTATTAGTATCCCTTGACTGCTTCGCGTATAACTTTCTTTAAATCATGTTTCGTGACCAAGAAGAGCCAACACACCCGAGCAAAGATTAATCCCATACCCTGGAGAATGTAATAGACACTTCGGATTTTTTAAAAAAAAATAAAAGCTATTAAACTTAGAACTAAGGTTACTTAAAAAGGTATCAGCAAGTAGACAACCATTCTGTTGAATGCAAGATGAGAACCTCCAGCATGAGCAGCTGCAAGTGCAATTTAGTATAATTATAAATATAATTTACAATATCAATCCGTCCGAGACTGATGGAAATATATGAGTAGGTTACTTAAATAAAAGCGGAAATTAAAAACAAAAAAGTATATATCTCCTTTGAATGGGCCATATACAACATTGATCTCTGCAGTATTATTTACTTCCTAACCCTAAACCCTAAACATAAAGAAACATGGCATTCAAAACAAGCAAAAAACACTCGTGTATATACCTCACATGCAGGATATTGACACCTCAGGCAGGAAATATTTTAAATTTAAAATTGATTGAAGAGATTCAAAAGATATATAACATTCCTCCGACTTTCCCATCATCCAGGCGATCCAAGAATCAGGTTGGTAGGATTAGAATGGACAAACTCTTCTAAGATAAGAATTATCCAAAATGTTCCCCAGGCCTCACATACAAAAGCCTCCTGGTAGGAGCTGGTGGCGCCAATCCTGGGATATCCCTAATATCTTTGTTGTTGGGATTCACAATCTGCAAAATATCAGTTCCAGATGAATCAGACGCTTACTGTCATCATTGTAAATAACATAATAAGTTGTCATAGTAATATACATGCAAACATTTGAATAGACAATTTACTTGTATGGATTCAATATATGTCACTAAATGTCCTGCTCATCATTTTCTTCATTGGTATAGAAAGTATAATAAGAAAATCGATAAATTATTCAAAATATTTCATGTAAAAATGGTTTTTGCAAGTAAATCTTGGAGCGGCCTAGTTTAATTTCTACTTGTGGAAAAATGTTAGATTATGCAAGAAGGATTGGTATCGACAAGTTCATGGAATTAATTGACGACATGAAGATGATACCTTCACAACAATAATGGCAATTACTCCACAGACGATAAGCAACAGAAGCAGCATGATGCACTTATCAGTAGCTACCTGATAACATAACAAAAACACATAAGTTTGACAAGCGAGGTTTGAAGTAAATAGCACAGAGACACTACGAAAATTTAGGAACCTGTCTACCAATCTCCTTCACAAGCTGGGAAGCCTTCTTAATTGAAAACTGAATTGAATCAAGCTCATTAACAATACGGCCCATCTGTTCAGTCTACACAATATGGAAACAGAAGAGTCAAATGTGTGATCGGATAGATACTTCCCCTTTTAAAGTATACTTGGTACATATAAACTTACTTGGCCCTTCAAGGTAGTGGCAGTTTGGGTGCCCACTTCAACTGTTTGATGTACAACCTACATTTCAATATAAGTTAAGAACAAAGGTACGGGAGCAATGACGTCATAATTCTGAAGTGAGTCACCTGCTTAGATCTTTCAATAGCCTGATCAGTTTCATCCATTGTCTTCATCCCAGTATTGATAAGTTCTTGATTTGACATTTCTATAATACAAGCAGAATGGGCATTTTGGTGAGATAAATATGTCATCAACTAAACATAAAAGTATAACACATCCAGAGGAAGCCCAGCCCCAACCCTAGGTATCAAACATTATGCACTGACAAGATGACGCCTGAGCAAGTCACCACAACAATTAGCATGTGATATAGATGCTAGATGAGTAGATGAAGATTGGTTATAACAGGGAAACCATTTAAAGTGAAATGAATACCAATTCATACGGAGAAGTGCTGCTATCATCTCATTGGTATTGGTACAACTTCCATTGAATCAAGTACATTCCAACTATATCTATTTCCTGTAGTGGTTCAAGTAAAATGGTAATTTTGCAGCCCCTGCTGTGCACATAGTAATTTTTTGTTGGTCTATCTTTAGTCACTCATTGTATCCTAGGGTCCTTGGCCTGGTGCATCCAATCATATCTCCAGCAACAAGAACCCTTTCTCCAAGCTTTCTCAACCTGGTGATTGTCCTACAGCATTACCCATCCCCTCCCTTCTTTGCTTATTGATTAAGTATTTTATATTCCTGTTTGTCCTTTCTCTGTTATTTTTAATGCAAAATAGGCCTGAGTCCAACATAGGGACACAATACTCTGTTACAACGATTGACTGATGATTCTTGTTCTACTTGGATATTTTTAATGCAACAAGGACCGGAGTTTTTGTCCATTTTTCAAAACTTGTATCAAGAAAATAAAACCTAATTTAGAGTTCATGTTTGTACTTTTGTAGTAATGATGTCAATGAACATTTAACTCAGCCTTTCCAAAATCTTGTTGCTTCTAGTGGCATTCTTTGCCAGACCTCTTGCCATATCCTCAACAGAACAGGGTAGACAAACACACATAAAAAAGAACGTCTTGTTAAAATAACTAGCACCCTCCTGCTCCATGGTAGTGTTCCTTTCCAGGTTTGAGGTGATGCAGTCCTTACTGCCTATTACTTGGAGAACTGCATGCCCTCCTTTATGCTTGATATGCATATCACATACCTATAAACTAAAAATCCTCAACAACTTATAATATTGATAGCAATTAAGGTGTATGAGGGGAAAATAGCTAACCTGATGCCAATTGAACATTTTCTTCAGCTATAGATTCACTTGCTCCTGCTCCCATGTCAAAAAGTTCAACTTTCTTATTACCAAGTGTATTCATGTACCTATCATTTTATCAATCATCAAAATAATAATATAAGTAAAGTAAAAAATATTATACTTTATTTAGGTGGAAAAAATGAAAAATGGAAGGAAGTTTATTGTTTCTGCTAACACCAATAGTGAACACTTGTAATGGTATTAAAGTTGAACATGCTCACAGGGAAAATAGGTATTAATCATATAATGTGCTTAAAAATCTCGAAAGGACCAGGTCTAAAATGTATGTTAAAGAAGTGAATTTATTGATTCTGCAGAAGCAGAACTGTGTGGATGATTATGAACTTACGTTTTTCTTAATGCCACATACGAGTTTAGTTCCTTGATCTGCAAGAAAATTGCACATAAGCAAACATAAAGAAGCTGTTTGTGTAAAAGCGCATGCAAACATCACACGAGCAAATAAAAAGGAAAGACTTTGGGCACGGACCATTGATTGTTTTTCATCATTGAGTTGCTTGTTCACTTCTGGGGGATTTCTGCCCTCTTCATCTTTAATTTCATGATCAAACTCTTTAATTAACCTGACATAATTAATAGAACATAATGCTTCATATTCTAGAATGCAAGGAATGCACTAAAAAGGGAAATTGCAAAATAAATGAAAATCCAATGAAATTTCACTTCTTTTCACCACTGGCAAGTGGCAAAAGGCAAATGAATTGTCAAAGAAAAATTTTGAAAAGTGCATCACTACTATGATAAGCAGAAATTGAATTTTAACACGACATATGCTTCCCATATCATCATAATTCAAAAAACTAAACTGGGATGCAAAATTCTATTACAGAACTTTTCTTTATGCTAATTGTAACTTGTAAAACTAAAAATAATCCACCATGCCAAACATCGCAGAAAAGAACATTGACAAAGTTGATAGTTTGAATGGCATCTGTAGTTTCCTTCTTACTCAGTTACACTGGTTATCGAGAGATTACAACTACATAAATGCGTGACTAACCTTTTACACTCCCGCATCTTCCCTGTGAGCTCTTCAAGCTGCTTACTTTGTCTATTGGAATCTTTAATTTTATCCAGCTTCTGGAAGCCATTTCTGGGGTGCAAAACGTGAATATGTTAAAAATAATATATACCAATGCTAAAAATATGCGATCAATTCAATTTACCAAGTATTTCCCGAAAGCACAACGAGCTAACTACCTCTGTATACACTCTCCACGTTGCTAACTAGCCAACTGTATGCCTTTACAAAGCATAAAACAACTAGATTCTCAATACTGAATCAAAAATATTTTTAAGTATACACATGCTACACTCATGTCCCACTCCTATTGGCCATAATTATATTTCAACGTCATCCTCCAAAATGTCAAGAACCATAAAATCATGTTACTAACAAAATTAATAAGAAAGACACAATTCTCATCCCAAAACAAAAACGCCGCAAGGTTTTTACTTTCGAAGTAAAACTCATAATCGGAAATTAGATACCGAGACAAGTGAGAAATCTAAGAGGACAAATCAAGAAATAAGAGGTGTTGGTTAAGAGAGGCACATACGCGAGGGCTCGAAAGATATCGCGGATTTCGCCGTGGATCTGCTCCACCTGAGGGCTCATCTGCAAGTCAGTGGCCATGGTTGCCGGCGATTTTGTCTCCCTCCACAAATCCCGGCGAGAACCGAACTCCGGCAGAATCCCTAGCCCGTCGATTTGGCGAAGGTCTCCACAGGTTGCATAGCCATTGATTTTCCTTGGGAAGTGAAGGAATCGAAATACAGTGGAGAATGATGATACTGTGCCAGATTTAGGATTCAATTGAATTGGATTCAGAGGGAAAACGAAACCAAATTGGAAGACTAGAGAAATCGCTGTTTGCTGATAAATAATTAATCATGTTTAATTATAATAACGTTTTCTCCTAAGTACTTTATTACGGACTTAAACATGTTTTGGGTCCAATATTTACTATATTTTTAGTTTTAATTTATTTAAATTATTTTTTAAAATTTCGGTTGGGTACAATATTTGGTATCTATGTTATGATATAAATTATCATGCTTCATGTTCATAAAATGAATTAAGAAGAATATGATCATAATTTCTTAGAATACCAAAGAATTTATAAAAGGGATACGTAGCATTGATTCTTTTCTTGAATATTTTCCATTGATATAATTATCTTCTCCCTCTTCCTCAAGAAATGATAGGAATTAACAATTGTCTAAAAAGTTTCTTCCACGTGTCTCAAGACACATTTATATTATTTTTATAAAATATAATAATAAAAAAATCTACCACCTTTTTTCTCACAAAATCTCACTATTTTGTGTGAGAAATTTTTTTGTAGGTCCTACAAAAATATATATTTTTTCACTCATATAAGAAAACTTTATTTTCTTACAATTTCCCATCCCTATGTAATCGTTTTCCTTCTAACAAACAAAGCATTAATGATGTATGATATAATGTTCTCCCAATTTAGAATTCACCTTCCTTTCATTGCCTTCCAATGGAATGTAATCTTAGTGGGTTTTGGTCATGGAAGGATGAGAAGTGTAGGTGGATTGGTCTTTGGGCAAATGTTAGTATTAAGGTGTTTGAGGTGTTGATGGAATCTTGCCAAGTTTTAAAGATATGTAGAGTCTTACTATCGTGGGCACCAAAGTTGACAAGATGGGGTGCAAGCACATACACAAAGGAAACATCAAGGAAAGATGACATGAAAACATGTTTATGGCAACTGGCAAGGAGGAACAACTCTAGTAGTCAATAAATTAGTAACCTCTTGGGCATCTATTTCACCAATGAAACTTCTATAATTCATGTCCCATACAAATTCCAATGCGTGAGAGAGTGCTATGAACTTGGCCTTAGTGGGATCACACTTCCCATCATAGGTTGAGAAAGCTAGAACCCAATTTTTCATATGATCTCTTAATACTCCTTTTCAGCCTATGCATTTGGAATTGGGAAGAAAGCGGATCAAGATCTTCACTATGACCATTTAAATTTTTTAAAATATAATATTTAATAAAGTTTATATTATAATATATATATATATATATATATATATTTATTTAATGATTAAGATTAAATATAGTAGTAAAGTGACTATAAAAGATCTTTTTTTTCACATTAAATTAAATTTAAAGACACCTAAAATAGAGACTTACATGAGAAAAATAATCATGAAATATTAATAGGAGTATCAAAGTAGGTTGAATCTGATAGACCACTCAATTTAACTTATTTAAAGGTTGGCTGATGCGCTAACGCGTCAGTCCACCAAACACTAAAAAATAAATTAAAAAATGTTGATGAGCTAACGAGTAAATAAACTAATTCATTTAAAATTAATATAAAAATTACAATGATAATAAGTGTGATATTAGCAAATTAATTTAACTCATTTTTTAAAATAAGATAGGATAGACTAATTTAATTTTTAATAAGCTTTTAGCAAAATAAGCTGAAGCTAATTTACCCGTTATAACGTCTTAAATATTAATATACTTATTTTTAAATATAAATCTATCAAACTTATGTTTTCCCAACTTTCATAACTTTTTTTTTGTTACTTAAACTAACCTGATCAACTTTTTTCTTAATAAGGGCAATTTATGACATAATCTTAAATATTTTGCCACCCACTACTTACTTTATTTACCCTTTTTTTAATATTATTTTTTGGGCCTTAATACCTATATGTTCCATTGTCATATCATTTAAGTAATCATTTTTGTAATATAACACAACATCATAACGTCATAACAATCTCTAACACGCATTAATCTCATAATTTATACTTTCCGGGGGATATTTTTTTCTCTATTTTTTCCATGGTGACTTTTTTTTTTAATTCCTTTAATTCTTTTACTTTTGCAACACGATATCATAAAATCAAATAACATTAAAAAATATATTTTATAATACCACGAAATTAAAATACTTATTAAATATAAAAAACATTATATAAATAATAAAACAGTAATCTTAAATATGAAATAATATTGTTATCACAAAAAACTACATGAATTGCAACATTATATAATGAAATTTTTTAAAACAAAGTAAAATATTACATTTTATATTACAGTAATATTAGAATTGAAACAGCATTTAGAAAATACCATGCAAGTAATCCGCGTAAAATAACCTAAAAAATATTTAAAATAATTAGTGCAAATAAAAAATAAGTTAATAGTAAGTTCATGTTAAAAAAAAGAAAAGAAGAATCAATACAAAATTTATGCACGTAATAGTGTTACAGTCATAGATCAGAAATGATGATAAAATAATATTATGATAATACATATAAAATATCTTAAATATATTTAAAATAACTGTAAAAATGTTGAAAAAGTCATGCTATAATGTTCACAAATATAAAGTAAATAAAATAACATTAATAATAAATAGAAACAACTAATAAAATGTTAAAAAGTAAAACATAATAAGAAAGAAAAAAAGAATACTAAATAATAATATAATTGTAGGAAAAAGTGAAATAACGGAAAAATAATATTATAAAAGAAAAAAGAATGGAATAAATATCATTAATAATTGTAAACTATTAGTATAATAGTAAAAGATTAAAATAATCAATAGTAAAATATATTACAAAGTTTAAAATCAGAAATAGTAAGTAAACAATATCATAAATAATCAAATAAATTATTATTAATAATATAAAATTTAATATAATGACAATAAATAATCAATATTATAAAAACAAATTTAAAATAATTAACGTCATAAAAATAAAGAGAACTTACAGCAGTACGAGTTCAAAATCTACTTTTTTATATTCATCGTCCTCTATGATTGAATCTATAGCTTCAACTGCACTATCTTCACACCAATACCTATTTTCAGTTTTCAGATTCTGTCCCCACAACACTGAAACTAGCTCAAACTACACTTTTCTTTCCTCTACATTCGATTCAAGTGACAAAACCAAGTTCAAACCTAGCTACATTTTTATATTATTACAGTATTATGTTGTTTATTAAAACCGAATATCTTTAATTTTGCTCTCATTATCTAAATTTTTATTTCATATGAAGTACAGTAATCGATAATATCATGCTCCAACTAAGCAAATTTTTTAAAATTCATCGTTATCAGCCCTAACCCACTACTAACCCACCAAAATATAGGTTATATATGAATTAATTAATTTTCAAACATGGTTTGAAAATGTCGATCCACCTCATTTTTCGACGTTTTATATGAATCATTTAATATGATGCAAATTTAATGAAATATGGTTTCATATATAAATAATAATTAAGTCACTTAAATATGGAGCATTGGTGAGTAGAATACAGATTATTGAAGAACTTGAAATTGAGAGTTTAATTGTTATAAGAATTGGATGAGAACTTGTCATATACTAATCATGGTAGAAGAACATAAATGCAATTGAGTCAAGCAATAATTGCTACTTAACGTGAGTGGACAACCTTAAATATAAACTAATGTCGATATAGTTAAAATAAATGAACATCAGCTACCCCATATCAATGTTTTGGCTACATTTGGCCTCTAAATATCGTAGGTTTTCTCTTGCAAGAAAACAATACAAGCCTCATCGATATTAGCCAATAGCACAAGTGTCTTTAGTCACTCTTGCACAAAAACAAAATCCTCAGCATCATATACTATGAATTGCATTAGTGATAATGACATGGCACCAATCAAGCATTGAAGTCACATAAAAAAAATGGCCGGTTTATGAAGCCAAAGTTGGTGTTAGATATTGCACGATAAATGAGCTACATTAATATTCGTCAAATTTTTAAAGGGAATTGAAAAATGAGACTGGGGAAGACCCATTTTCTCTGAGTTTCTTCTGGTACATGTTTGAGGCACTTTCTGAGGAATTAGCTCCATACAGTTTTATTTTGCTAAGGAGGTGAAGGAGATTCTGTGACGATATTACACTGATGTTAATGGTGCTAAACATGGAAATAGACAAAATTGGTGGGCAAAAGAATCTGATTCATCATCCTACCTTCAGCGCTTTCATGAGAAGATCGCATGCAAGTGACACATGCATGTAAGCAACAACTTCTTTTTCTTCTTGATTTGTATAAAATTTAATTGTATTATCTTATAAAAAGAATCAAATAATAAATAATATGTCTTAAAATTTAAATTTTTAGGAGATTTATGTAGTCAGTCTTATTTAGGGAAATAAGTTACTGGTATTGTTTTGAATAAGATTTAACATTTGTTTTGTGATTGCGGATTAAACACGCAGTTAAAAAGTAATTTCAGAAAAAAATCAACTACATAAACTTTTTAATCTCATTATAAGATATTAATTATAGATGTAATTTTATAAGCATACGCCTTTGGATGTAAACTGCATATTCCTATGGTTTAAATTTAATTCTAGGGTATCTTATTCCAGTAGCTGGTTAGGTGATGGAAATGTTGAGCGAACTAACGATAGAATAACTTGAGGAAAACTCTTTATGCGATTCCATTTTAGGTATTCTGTTCAAGAAAAAAAAAGGAATTGAATTGAAATGTACTCCAATATAATAGTTTTTTATATTATTATTTAATTATAAATTATCATGTAAACAAAAAAAAATTGACTTTTGTAGTAATTAATATAAGAGTCATGCCAATTGTATATTCTAATTAGTTAATTGTGTAAAATTTTTTATACTAATGCATCAAAATTAAATTAGTAAAAAAATCAGCTGGGAAATTCAGAAAGAGAATAATAAAAAAATGGGGTTAAGTGATTTAGTTAGAGACCTTGAGGATCTTAATTATGTGATTCCTTATTTAGGTATTCTATTTAAAGCAAAAACAAAATCCAATAGAATAAAGAGAAAATGGGGTAACTTTCTTCGTGTGGAGGAATGAATGTACCCTTCATCAGAGAACTGCCACTAACGAGAATCTTGCTGATGTTATGGATACTAAAAATGGGATGGAATAATAAAAGTTCTCTTTGAAATTAATGTTCATAAGGCGATGAATAACTTCAAATGTGGACGGTAAATTGTAATTTTGTTTTTCTATTTACGAGGTTAAGACTGATAATCTAATTGGGTTCTCTATTATTTTATTATTATTCGTAGGTATTTTATATCTATGTTAATAACAATTTTAAATTTTATCTTTATATTTATTAAATATTATATTCATTTTCATTGTTTAAAGGGACAGATCTTCTTTATACTAATGTGAGTATACAAATTTTTATATTTAATTTGAATTTTTTATTTAATTTATATTTAAGGGTCATTAAAATATAAATTATATGTAAATTAAATAAAAGATGTATACTAATATGAGAAAAAATTTCTTTTTATTTAAAATATATTTTTAAAACAAATAAATATTACTAGTATTATAATATTTATCTTATTCATTATATATAGTTTTGGTGAATATTAAATAAATATACGATGGTTGTGATCTCTGTTCTCCGAATTGCCAATCCATCCTTATTGCCCAATCTAATTATGCAATGCCCTTTTCGTGGACGATCAAAACAAGGGAAAATAAAGTAATAAATGGTAATTGTGGTTCTTTCATTGGTCCCAAATGCGAAATATATAGAGAGGGAAGGTCTGCTATTTTATAGGAAAGAATGTGACAATGGGCCTACTTGTCTGATTTGGTTCACTAATAATCTGACCTCTCAAAGAACAATCAATGGCTTCACGTTTGTGTACTCCTCTTCTTGATGTTGCTTTGCAGGATAAGACTCCTAGACTTTGAAAAGTGCTGGTAACACACCCACACACACTCTTGCTCTTCATTTTCAACCTCAAATATAGATGCCTTTGTGGCATCGTTAAAGCTTCCGCGTGGAAAAAGTAAGCACTATTGAAGAGGACGCAAATTGCAGCGAGGACCACCACTCACTGCCCCACAACGCTGCAACGTTTCTCTTGCATCAGTAAGTCCACCACTGATAATTCTTTTCAACACGAATGAATAACAACGTTAGCAATATATATATATATAAAGATATTTTTATTTTAACACAAATCTAAAAAATTTTATATTTAAAATGGTTAATAAAATAATAAATATAACTCCTCATCATCAGATGTAAGTAAAATAAAATATTCTGATTAAATATAATTTTTTTTAAATTTACACTAATGTAAAAAGATTATTATATATTAAAATTTATTAAATATTATAAAAATTATGTAAATTATTTTTTTTATTTTTACATTAATATTTTTCTTTTATATATTTTTTAATTTTTTTTAATAAAATTTAGTCTAACAATAAAAAAGTGTATTGTTAAACTTTTTCCTTTGAATATAAATCTTACTCTTGTGAATTTTTTTTAATATAATTTATTTTATGATTGATTCATATTTTAAAAATTAAAAAACTTATCTTATAAATTAATTATATTTTAAAAAATATTTTGAATTTGGTAAAACTGATTGATCATAAAAAAAATATATATATATTAAAGAGTGTGTTTAAAAGAGAATTATTAATATATTTTTTCAATATCTCTTTAAATTGTTAATATTTTTTCAATAGATTTTTTTAACTGAAATTATAGGCACTATAAGGGTGGTATTCTTTTTGCATGAACATAAAATTTTATTTATTTATTATTGCATGTGTATTTTTAGGGGTTAAGGTGCGTGTTAACTAACGACAGATAAAAAAATTATTGAATAAATAAAATATTTAATATTTTTAGCAATTTTTAAAATTTTTTTTTACTTGTACTATAAAAATGTTGAGTTTATGTTTTAGTCAAAAAATTGGGTTCGTTGGTTGAATTATGATGATCCTTAAATCAAATTGAGTATTGAATTTAAGGGCGTGGATCACACTCCTATTGACCGTCTAAAGTGTTTTGGAAAATTTGAATTGTGATAGCTATTATGTAGGCTCATAAATAGTCTAAAGGTGGTGAAAACCATGTTATTAGACTAAAATTGAAATATTCAACTACATAATAAGTTTCATGTATAAGAAATAGTGTTTCTTACTCTACAATTCTAAACTGAAAAATCACGTTAGAGCATGGTTTTTCAAAGTGAACATTTTTCAAATTAATTTAATGTGGAGAGAATCAATCAAAGCCTATAATCTCTACACATAAATTTTTACACATTTTAACAAAAAGTTAAGAAATTTAATATACTTCCGACTTTTGTCTCTTTGTTTAACCTGCTTTAGAAGTCCCTTTCCCTCCTCTTTAACCTTTCTGTCTTGTAGAGTTGAAATATTGTAACAGGTTTTTTTTTCCTCTTAGATAACATTTTGTTTTAAGTTTTTAAGCAATTTTTAAGAAATAATTTTAAGAATGCTAATCCAAGGGCTTGTTTGATTTAATTTTGATTTTTTATTTTAAAAAATTACATTTTAAAATAATTTTTAAAAAATAAAAATTGTTTGATAAGTTCGTTCTTAAAACTTTTTTTAGTTAAATTTTTGTTAGTTATAGAATGAGGAAAAACAAAAAACAAAAACACCTAAATTGTAATTCTGTTTTTTAATTTAAGTTTTTAAGTAATTTTTAAGAAATAATTTTAAAAATGCTAATCTAAGTATGTCTTTAGTATTTTTTTTAATCGATAAAAGTAGGATAAAAAATCTTATTTTAAGTTAGCATTCTCTAATTTATGAATCTTTTTAATTTTAAAATAATAATCATTGCATCATTTTCTTTTAATTATTTTTCATATAAAACATGTTTTCATTGTTGAGGGTTGAAAACTTGACCTTGTATCTCAACAATATTTATCTACAGGTATATAACAAAAAATAATATTTTTTACTGAAAATATAATATTTGATATTATTAATATTTTAAATTTTTATGATGTATGATTAAACGCATATGATTTTTTTTGTGAATAACACAAATCCTTAATATAAAATGGGATGCTTGCGCTCTCTTTCATAGAACAAAATACAATTTAATATCTCAAATAGTAAATATTAAATAAAAAAACAACTCAATAATGCAATAATGCATGATTGACGAAACTTATCTTATCCTATGGTATGATACAATGAATACAATTGGAAGCAAAGTGAGCACTTTTAAGATTGAGAAACTCTGAATCATAACACAAGAAAACGGGGGAAAATGTAAGAAATGAAATGGGAAAATTGGAAGGAGCATTGATTGATGAATGTGATGAAAGAAAAAGAAGTGGCAATTTGCAAGTGGGACCAAAACCAAAGGGAGGAGTAGCATTCGAATTCCCCGAAACAAGGGCTTATCTTGCCACGTGTCAGCATCGCAGCCCCCAATCAAATCATAGCATTGAGCTCTCAATTCTCATCCACCCTCAGAGGAATTAATAACAAACACCCGGTAATCTGTTTCTGCAAATTCGCCACTTGCAATCTAAAAGTTCCAAACTTTCCCTTGCAATCCATGGTTAAATACTAACCCTGGTTTGTTTTCACCCTTCACTTTGTCCTTATTTTCTCTCTTTGCAAAAGGGGTGTCACATCTCTCTCCTCATTCGGGTGGTGGCATTTTCATTTTCATTTTCAAGTTTTCAAGTTTTTTTCTTTTCTTTTCTTTGTTGTTGGTTCTCTATGTCAGTTTTGCGTTGTGTGCTTGGGTTGTATGCTGGTTGGTGTTCCAATTCACTCTCAGATTTCTTGGTTCTTGGCTTCAGAACGCCATGGCTGCCAAGAAGGCTTTTGAGTCATTTTCAAAATCTTTGATGGACGAAGTGCATAAATGGGGTTGTTTGAAGCAGACAGGGGTTAGTTTGAGGTACATGATGGAATTTGGGTCCAAACCCACGGATAAGAATCTTCTGATTTCTGCTCAGTTTCTTCACAAGGAGCTTGCCATTAGAATTGCTAGGAGAGCTATTGAGCTTGAGCATCTTCCCTATGGTTTGTCTCATAAACCTGCTATTTTGAAGGTATTCTTTTTACATTGTAGTGATGAATTATGGGTTATTCTTATTTTTTGTGTTTGTCTTTTTGATACCTTCTATGGTGCCCTTCATTTTGTTCCTTCTGCTTTCGGGGACACTCTTTTTGTTTGATCTTATCTGGTTACGGGGAAGGGAGCTTTTTTGGAATTGTCTTGCAATTTCTTTAGTGTTGTATTTGTTTCTTTTTCTTTATCTTGAGCATTAATAATGATTTAAGAAATTGACTTACTTTTATAAATTATCATTATTTTTTTAATAAAATATAGTTTGTGATTACCATTTTTAAGATAATGTAGATTCCTCTAAGGTGCCTAGCGTGTCATATTTGTGGATAATCTTGCCGGGTTAAACCAGCTTTGTGGATAAGCACGTGAAGTTTGAAGCTCTATTCTAATTTATTTCTTTTCTTTATAGATTCTAATTGAAATTCTGTAAATTAAGAACCTATATTACGTGGAGGTTAGGAGTGTATAATCACACTAGGGGCTTACAACGGGACGATGGTATATTGAAATAATATTTTGAATAATAAGAACCGAACTTCTGAAAAAACTGTTCAGAGGTTCAAATATCTTGTCAAGAACCAATAAATGAAAAATTTTAAGCTTTTAGGCTGATATGGGTTCTTGATTTATCCATTAAAATCTGATATTGAACATTCTGTCTTCCGCTAGCTACAAATGGTGTATGGTTTAATCACTATATCAATACAACATTTATTCTCATTCTTCTGCGCATTCTTGACAGTGGCAATTATCATAACTCCTTGGGGCTGAGCTCCTATTTTAGAACCTGATAATGTTAGTTAATGATGCTGCTGGATTGATGTAGGTTTTGATGTGTGTTGTGTGGTAATTTTAGTGACATTAGGGAGAAGGATTCACTTTAAAATTAATTTAATGTTTTTTAAAAGTTTATTGATCTTTTGTGCTACACTTTTATGATTTTAGGTTAGGGATTGGTATGTGGATTCTTTCCGTGATCTCAGATCCTTCCCCGATATCAAGAATATGAATGATGAAAGAGAGTTCACTGAAATGATCAAGGCCATCAAAGTGAGACACAACAATGTGGTACCTACAATGGCCTTGGGGGTTCAGCAGTTGAAGAAAGGTATGGACCCTAAGATTGTCTATGAAGATCTTGACGAGATTCATCAGTTCCTTGATCGCTTTTACATGTCAAGAATTGGAATCCGCATGCTTATCGGTTAGTTGAGAAAATATTGTCTGCCTTACAAGACTAAGCAATCTTTTGTTACTAACTTTTCTATTTAAATCTTTATAGTGAAGGTTTAATCCCTATCCTTGCTGTGTGTGTTTTTCATTTTTGTGGGATTCAGGGCAGCATGTTGAGTTGCACAATCCCAATCCTCCTCCCCACGTTGTTGGTTATATACATACAAAAATGTCTCCTTTGGAGGTGGCAAGGAATGCCAGTGAAGATGCACGTGCTATATGTTGTCGTGAATATGGCAGTGCTCCTAATGTCGATATATACGGAGATCCTGATTTTACTTTTCCGTGAGCTACATGCTTCTCACTTTCATAATTTCATTTGCTATTGTTTTGTTATCATTTTTTTTCGCATTTAATACACACTTTTTGGTCCATAGATTCCATCTTGTTTCTTATGCTTGGAACGGTTATCTCATAATCATTTATAATTATAGTTAAGTTGGTTCTGTTCTCTTTCTATATATATTTACTGTATGTATTTGTTGCAGTTATGTTCCAGCTCACTTGCATCTTATGGTGTTTGAGTTGGTTAAGAACTCACTCCGTGCTGTCCAAGAGCGTTATATGGATTCTGACAAAGTTTCGCCTCCTGTTAAAATAATAATTGCTGATGGAGTAGAGGATGTTACCATAAAGGTGCTTAGTTAAATTTTATAGTGCATTTGTTAGTTTTTTGAGTTATCTTTTTCCTCGGATTCTTACTTACCACTATCAAGATGCTATGTTAAAAGCTGTTTGGTCTAAGTGGCATTGTAGGTCTCAGATGAGGGAGGTGGAATACCAAGAAGTGGTCTATCAAAGATTTTTACATATCTATATAGTACAGCCAGAAACCCATTGGATGAGCATTCAGATCTTGGAACAGCTGATAATGTGACAATGGCTGGATATGGATATGGGCTTCCTATTAGCCGCCAATATGCTCGATATTTTGGAGGTGATCTCCAAGTAATCTCTATGGAAGGATATGGTGAGTAGGCTGTTACTTATTTTCCTCCTCATTGACAATATTTTTTGATAGATATCCTTCCAATATTAATAATTCTACTTCTTTAGCAATAAAAGTGTTACCAACTTTTTCTATCTCTTCTCCCTACAGGAGTTTTGAGATATGGGATTTAATTGCAGTTTGATAAGATAAAATCCTGTCAACCTTATTTTTGTAGTTACTTATTATGTCCCTGAGGCCCATTTGAATTTCTTCAGTAATAATTAGAGCTTTTATTGAAAGTATCAAGTGAATATCACTTTTCTCTTCCATGAGTAAGTCATTACACGTTAGGACTTTGTGAGGTCTAATTTGCAAGAGTGGCTTTTGAATTCCATGAGTCTAGTTTGGATAACTTAAAAATTTAAAGAGTACTTGTCTAATAACTTCTCTCATTTAACCAATAATAGTACTTATCAATAAGTTTATCCAAACTGGGCCTTATTCATTTTTTATATTGATTTTTTTTCTTATAATTACTTATCTAGAAGCTTATTCAAATTGTATCATACTATATTACATTTTTAGAGTACTGATTTGTTGTTTCCAGACTCCTTCAGTTTGCATTTTATTCTTGCTTCAAAATCAAGTTTTCTGATGCAGTCATGGGCTGTTTATTCACAGGGACTGATGCATATCTCCATTTGTCTCGTTTGGGAGATTCACAAGAACCTTTGCCCTGAAAGTACTTCTCAGTCGCACTCAAGAGTTACCATAAGTAACTTCAAGTAGTATGGTGCTAGGAAAATTACCATTGTTGTTAGTGTCAAAATGGACTATTTGCCGTCAATATTTCATATTCTAATAATTTCACAAATTTCTTGTAAATATGTCAATACTTAATATTGTGCATGGTGTTGGTCCCTTTGCCGTCGGATCCAGCTTCGAGAATTTGTCCCTTTTTATGGTCCTTTTTTCTTTCAAAATTTGATGCATTGGAGATAGTTAAAGGTGGAGATAATCCCACATGATTTTTAAACAAATAAGGTCATGCAACTATTTCTTAGCATGTGTCTCTAAATAGAATAGGGGCCCATTTTGTGTGGTCCAGCAATGATTCAAAATAAATTGAATGTAGGTCACTCGAATGCAAGATCTAATGTGCAACTCAACATCTTATTTTATTTTTGTTTTAGGTGAATTTAAATTTGCTTAAACAATAAAGTGATTTTTACTTAAGCTACTAAATATTTGTTTAAGCAAAAACATTATAAAACATCTTTTGGCACAGTTATAGCACAGCTTGCATTTTAATCAGTGAGATTATTAGTTATTTTAATTCTACATTTTATAATATTTTTTATTTTAATGTATGAATTTATAAAATAATATTTGTTTTGGTCCTATTTTTTTTCTTGATTTAATAATTATTATTTTATTATTTTTATTTATATATTTAAGGCTAAATATTGAGTTTTCTAATTGAATTTGAATTTAAATATTATATTGTATTTGATTTAGTTTTATATATTATGCCTTGTGACATGAAATTGTAAATATTGATTTTTCTATTCAATATTATTTATATCTTTTAAAAAAATTATTTAATTCTTATTGGTTTAACGACGGTTCAAACATTAAACCTTAAACCATGTCTTGATTGATTTAATGACTTGTCCCATTTTTAAACAAACCTTGATTTTTTCTTACATTTTTCTCTTCCCACAAGTTCCATAAAGTGCTGATTAGTTGCTTTATAAGCCTCTATTGTCAGCTAATGATGATAATAAACCTTCAGTTTTTGGTTTTTGTATTGCTATTGTTGCAATATCATGCATGCATGGCATACTTACATAAATTGGAATGCTTATAGTTAGTTTTTACACAAAAAAATATATAATTATGATTTTAGGTGCACACTTGCAAGTTGTCAAAAACTACTAGAGCAAAGCGCACACCATATTTGCATTGCAATTCAACATTGGTACCACACATGCATTTTAGGAAGAACAAAACATTGATGGTTTTGTACCTTTGTCCAGAAAAATCTGAAATCCTCCTTGTCTTATTTCAATTGCTACATCAGAGAACATTGCAGCAGCGAAATTGGGGATCAGGGGTCGTGTAGGTGAATTTTGCTTTTCTATACTTCCTTACCAAGTTTAATTAGTTTTAGTTTAATTTCTCACACAATGACAAAATGTCATCTTCAATTGCCCACATGTAGCAATAATTTGCGAAATAATGTGTTAGCATAAACCTAACGTGCCCAGTAAGTGATTTTATTAATACAAAACTAACGGTAGTTCACTCAAGGACTACCATAAAAAATGTTTGAACAAGTTAAGAATAGAAAACGTTAATTAAGTTAGGATCTAAAATAAAAAAGCATTACACAATTAGGACTTAAGTAACTATTTACTCTTACAAAAAGTAACAATAATAATCATAATTAAGATAATAAAAGGTAGGGAAAAATACGTTATACTTTGTCCAGTAACCTGCTCTTCCAATCTGCTGAGCGGTTCTGAATATTCTCAAATCACACAAATGAAATTCTACATTTAGCTCTCCCTTGCAGTATAGGGAACCCCAAGTAGTTCCCCACATTAGAAGTGAATCTAGCTTTTGTTAAAAGTTCATTGAGATCCTTTTGTCTATCCCAGCTATTGTTTCGATGGCAAATATAGATAAAGCTCTGTAAATCTAATCACATAAATCTTGCATTTCGTACATCTTATGGTGTTGACTTTTGTTTTACATTAATATCATGGGTAAGATTTGATATATGCCAGCTCTTACTAAATATCTCATATAACAGTAAATATGTTACTTAAATTAGTAAGAAAGCATTCAAACTAAAATGATTACACTTTTTGATATGAGAAAAAAAAAGGATTGGACACATGTTGAATTTTCACTGGAAAAGAGCAAGTAAAGGCTACAAGCGGCCACAAAAACTTAACTATTCGCTCAAATCATCATCAAAATAATTAAGATCAGATTCGTCATCAGTGGCAGCATCAATGTTAGCATGATCCACATCTGGTGATCCTACTGCTACATCAGTCATAGTCACCAGCTCAAGGGATCCCTTTAGAGGCCTTGCAGCTCCATCTTCATAATCAATTGAATCATTTTCATATTCATCGTCTAGTTCAACACCAAAAAGGATGTTCTAGAAAAACACGTGAAATAAAATTAGTGCACTGAAGCATAAAAATAAAATAACTTAACGAAAGGCGAGAATCAACCATGATTTATATATAAAAAATCCAATTCACAGGAATTAATACTTCATCATACAAGTTCAAAAGAACAAAAAGCACTGATTACCTTATCAACATCAGAGCTTTGTACATTGGCATCAACTATCCAATCATCGAGTAAATGCTCTTGCAGAACACTGTCAACAGAGGTCAACTTTGAGTCCCTGGACCTTTTTCTTAATTGGCATTCTCTAAGTCGCAAGTTGTAGTGAACGTAGATAATGTCATTCAATTTCTTCTGAGACAAACGATTTTGTCTTTTGCTATGTATCTGGTCGTATATACTCCAATCATGATCACAAGCAAAGGATGAACATGTCTGACTTAATATGCGTACGGCTATTCTTTGCAATTCCAAGCAACTTATTCCATGTTGTTGCCACCAGGCAGCTATAGTGACGTGAAAAAGGAAGCTGATGAACTCAAAGTCTCAAACAGAAGTTGGAAAGCACCTCTAATCAAGCTAATCATCTTAAGAAGCAGTTCTAACAGCAACACAGCAGTTTTTACCTGGTTCTAGACCTGATCTTGTGCTAATTGCCAATTCAGTTCCAAAGTCATCTTGTGCAGAATTATAATGAGCAATCTGAAAATGACATCACTTTGAAACAGATAAAATAAATATATAAAATATTTGGTACCAAATAGCAGTCATTAAGAACACCGTACCTGCATTGATGCAGATATCCGTCTCATATTATCTGGCTCCAACCGAACAATACATTCGTTGAGCCCCCGAACTACCTCAGAATGCTAGTCATATCAAACATTCTCATCAGGATAGAATTCAAGTAAAATTTGAAAATTTTCAACCACTAAGAAATATTCAATATTGTCACATACCGCTACAAAATCCTGACGATATCGGTATGAAGGATTTAAGAAGTAAGCAGCCAAGTAAAGAGGGTGACAGAACAGAGAGTTCCAATGACTATCTATCACCTTCCAGAATGGTTCATATTTACGAGCATCGTCACTATGAACAGATTTAATTGCAATTTTTGCCTTGTACATATCATTATATATATATGGCATTGACAAGCTCTCGCCACTATAAACCTTTTGAAGTACTTGCATAATGGGATCTACTGACTTCCTAACATATTGCATTTTCTTCCAAAATGTGACATTCAAAACAATTTTTTCAACTTCTTTCCCCTCGATTGAACTGGAAAATCTGGATGAAATCCATTTATTGGAAAGAAACATTCTTCTGAGACCAACTCGATGATCCAGCAAACTCTGCAAAGTAGAGAAGCTAGAGGCATATCGGGTGCCAGCTGGTTTAAGAAGCTCCTGGCCCTGGGTAAATTCACTTTTCAATAGGTTTAACAACCATATTTGATTGTATATTAGTTTTGTAATTTTCTGGCCCTTTTCCATGCACTCTTCTACACATCTTATCTTCATAAAATCTTCAAGCATTCGATTAATACAATAAGTGGCACAAGGGGTCCAGAATAAATTCCTTCTTTTCTCTTCAAGCATTTTTCCAGCAGCTTTATAATTAGGAGTATTTTCAGTGATTACCTGCATCAAAAGGGAGAAATAGGAGAAACAATGATTAATAATAGCTGCAAGGTGATATTTAGGATGAAGGAGGATGCCACAATACTGAATGAACATTTTACCTGCACTACATTTTCCTCACCTATTTCTTCCACTACTTTGTCCAGAAGCTTAAATAAATTTGGTGCATCCTCTACTATATTGGTGGCATCAATTGAAGAAACAAAGTATACACCATGAGGACAAGAAACAAGAAAGTTAATAATTGTCCTACCCTGTGTATCTCTCCAACTATCTGCCATTATAGAACTACCAGTGATTGCCCAGGAAGCCTTATATTCAACAATGTAGTTTTTAATGGAGTTGATTTCCTCCTGCAAAAAGCGACCAGAAATAAGTTGGCTTGGTGGGCATACCAGTCCTTGTCCATATTGACCAACCATTTCCAGCATTTTATGAAAATATAGGGAGTCTGCAGCTTGCAATGGAATTCCTGCATGGTAAAAGAACTTGCAAATTGAAGAAATAACTTCCTTGCGTAATTTCTTAGTGGGCCCTGTCTTAACTTTTACTTGTTTGTAAGTTTGAGGAGTCTGATTCTTGGGCAGTTTCAGGTAAACATTATCCAATCTTGATCTTCTCAACACTGGTTCAGGACCAGTACTTGGTGACATTCCCTTGAAGGTCTTTATCAAATCTTTAGAGAATCTCTTATCAACATCAATCAAAGTTTCCTTGTTCATATGATGTAAAGTATCTTCCACTTGCTCATACTCATCATCATCGTTATCGGACTTTGCATAGAAAGGCATCAATTCCTTAGCCTCAGGTCGCCTAAGTCTCCTTCCAGTGCGATGCCATTTCATATTCTCTTTTATTTTAATATAAACTTCTTCTGGAGCATTTTTACAAGGTGCTACCTCTCCAGGAATTCTAGCCAAATGTTGTTTAAACCGATTAATTCCTCCACTAACAACTTTTTCACAGTAATTGCATTTGACTTTCTTCTTTCGCTCATCCTGAGCTACACCATGTTCCCACCCTGGGTCAATATATCCTAAGGACCGAAGAGGAGTCAAATTTACAGATACACTTCTATCATCCATCAATTGCTTCCCTTTGATTCTACACCCAACTTGGTCCTCATCATCTTCATCTTCATTAGAGTGAAAATTTATATATGCTTGTGAATCAGTTAGCTTTTGTTTCTTATTGGAACGGCAGCCTTCCAGATTTTCCTTCATTTTTAGGTAGACTTCCTCAGGAGCCTTTTCACAGTACGTTACTTCACCGGAAACTCGAGCTAAATGCTGCTTTAATCTGTATATCCCACCACTAACTATTTTCCCACAGTAATTGCATCTAACCTTCTTTTTCCGCTCATCCTGAGCAATGCCATGATCCCAACCAGGATCAACAAATCCAGTGGAGCGCACTGGAGCCATTGCATCCAAAACAGAGCTATTGTAATTCCACTCACATGAAAATGGGTGCTAAATACAAGGCACATACAAGCTCAAAACTACAAAATATCAAGAAATTGGAGAACCTTCCCTGCTCCAGCAATCATGATGTATGGTGTTGGCTGCCCAGATCCTTGAACTTTAAAGCAATATGGCATGAAAAAAATAAAAAATAAAAATATGATTAGATTACAAAATCAAATATAAAAAAAGGAAGACAATAGCTTATAGCAGAAAGAAATATGGGTCCTAAATCATTGAGATAATCTAACTTGAATTTTTCAGATATTAAATAAGAGAGAAGTTTTGAAACAGATCATACCATAAAAAAATGAAAAGGGAACGTTTAGGAAAACAATGATGATGACTGACACATAAAGATGCCTAAATGTTCAACTACAAGTTCTCATCCAAATACCCTCTCCACTTCCCACACACCATGACTGCCACCAGTTCTATGGTGATCATTTTCTTGTGATCTTTGTTGTTGCTTCTTAACCAAAAAGGAAAAAGTGAGGCACAAGCATCTTCAGAAGCTGCCCAACAAGGATTACTTTGACATTTAACGGATAGAGACATGTAAAGTCCAACACCTTAAGATCGCCACTTCAACATTGCACAACTGCACCTATGAGTTCTAGAAACACTCAATAAAAAGGTCATTCCAGCTTGGAGAAATTATTCAGTGCATTTTTCCTGTCTCTAATCTTATTCCCTAATATAGAAAACACAGAACTTATTTTGAACTTGTGTAGATCAACCCAATAAAAGAATTAACTCATCATGTTTGCACTTTAACATAGAATGTGATTCATTTCCTAATTCCTGTTCCTTCACAACTTGTGTCAATTTTTCAAACTTGTTTAATGACCAACAAAAATGCCTGAGAATTTGGTCAACATAGTTCACACAGTAGCAGGCAAAACCCAGAAGAACTTATCACTGTTTACCACAAAAGGCACACACATACCTATGTTCAAACGTATTGCCTTCCCCTTATACATATACCTGAATTTGGATCCTCTCATGTTGTTGAGTAACAAACATGATACAATCATATTAGAGATAGAAAGACAATTTTTATCAATTTTAATTTATGGGACCTACAACCAATCAAGTTGGGTCCTTATTTGATAAAAAAATGTGTCTTTCTCTTTCCAACACAACCATATCATGTTACTTATTAGCATGAGAGGATCCACATTCTACATACCCATTTATGACACACCTCCCCATTCACTCTCCTTTATTCATTTACTAACCAGTCACTCACCAGTAGGCCAAGAGACCACAATACTCTAAAAGCCAGTCATGCGACTATAGCAGAATCTGACAACAATAGTCCTTCTTTTCCATGCAGTCTCTGTAACTACATTATCACCTTCATAATTAAGCCAAAAGTGACATAATCACGAAGCTGATTTGAAAGAATTCAATTAACTTCAAAGCAGAAAACTTAATAGCATGTTTGGAACCGTGTTTGAACATTCTTAAAAATCGGTTAACGCGCAAGTTATAACTAGTAGCTTTGCAATAAACGAGGATCCGTTCCTAATCAAACGTGAATCCAAACACACTTACGAAATATAGTGAAAATTTGAACATGAAGGTTTGGATAAAGCTCAAAATCACAAATTATTATAATTATTACAGGAATTGACTACACCATAAAACCCTAAGCGGAAGACAGAAAGTGAAAGGGTTGAATCGTAGAAAGAAGATAGAGAAAGAAACCTTAAAGGAAAACGATCCAGATCGAAGTGAGCCCATCGGTTCAGAAGGACGCCGGCGGAGAATGGAATACAATCGGTGACGGTTTGCCGGCGTCGGAATCGTTCGGCCGTCGGCGGTGGTCGCAGGCGACGCGGAAATCGCTTGGGAATCGTGAGTCGCGAGTGAATGGCTGGGTGAGACTCTTAACTCGACCCGGCCGTGTTATACCGATTTATCTTTCCTCTTTTTTTAAGAAAATATTCTCATAAATTGTTTTGCTTATTATTATTGTTACAGTATATTGATAATGCGTTAATAAGTATACTTTTAAATGAAAAATCATATATTTAGCATATGAATTTATAATCATTATTTGGTATTAATTAATCTTTGTTGAGAAAGTTACGAGTTGGTCTACGTTTCAAGGAATTCGGTGAGTTGACTCAGCGGGTCTCAACACAGGAAAATAAACAATCACTCACTGAGTCATTTACATTCCATATAAAGCATATAGTTTTCTCAATGAAATATATCACTTTGTCACAGATAAAATTGGTATATACGCAACATAGTTCCTTCCATTTTGAATTCAACATTCTCATGAGTTGCATGCCACATCGTCATTTATAGATTCTCCTCATTCATTCATTGCATATTCTTCCAATTTAAGGATGTGTTTGAATCAGTGAAAGGATATTGTATAATGATAAAATTAAACAAAATATTTATTCCATTATTTGAGTAGTCAATAGAGTGAAATCTTTTATAATACCTTCACTTTAAAACTATATTTTCAATTTAATTTATACTTTACTTTGTTTATTACCAAATAAAAAATAATTACATGTATCTATATTAAACTAAAACATTTCATAAGAATAAAAAGATATTATTATTTATAAAAAACTAAAGCTATTTTTTGTATGCTAGTTAAGAACGCAAAAAACAATTATGGCAATAAATGATGATTTTTTTTGGTATGTATCTAAATTGATGTAACTAATTATTTTTTAAGATTTTAATTTTCAAACAGTATATTCTTTAAATTTATATATATCATTTAAAGCAAATTTTAATTTAATTATATTTATATTTAAACATGACAGTCAATTTCAAATTAATAAAAATTAATCTAAAAGTAAATATATCACTTTTGTTTTATTAAAAAAAGTCATTCACATATTAATGAATAAAAGCTTCAAATTTATTTTAACAAACATTATTCTCATAAAAAATTAAAAATTATAATAAGAATATTATTTTACATTTTTCTATAAAAAAAATTCAGTTAGTAAAAAAATTATAAAAAAATAAAATTTTTCTTTCAATAAAATTTATATTTATTAAAAATTTATTTCCAAAAATTCAAGAGAACGAAAACTTTTTGTTTAATTTGATAGTAAAAATCTTTTAAAACTTCAAATATATATATATATAAAGAGATGCTACGGTATGTAGTTCAACTATTGAAGAGTTTTCTGAATTCAAAATTGGTGCCCGTTAATAATTAACAGAGATAGACATAGGAATATCACCAACTCTAATGAAAAGAGTAATGATATACTAACAAAATTTTCATGACACTTTTTACAATTTATTTCTTTCTCATTCTCTCTCCCCATTACATCATGCATTTTATTCTTATCTCTCCCTTAAATTGTGTGGGAGTAGCACTACACTAAAGAGAATGGTATATATACAATTGATATCTTAACCCATCTACATAACTATCCCACCTCAAACAAAAATGCAAAATATACATTATCTGACTTCTAAATTCTTTTCTTTCAGCATATCACTTCAGAGCTGCCTAGCTGTTGCTTTGGATGAACACCCAAATCATTTGATAACTTCTTGCATAGCTACATCATAACAAAAAACATTGTGAATATAAGCCTCAAAATTTCTGTATAAGGGAGCCTAGAGAGAAGTGTGTGTTTGTATGTGAGAGAGGTGATACATACCTGTCTATATACAGAAGCATCTCCATAAGACTTACGTAACTCTACTACATACAAGGATGGGCTTATTTCAAACACCTGTTTATATATTTGAAGGATAAGAAAATTTCATAATGCATGAAAACTATACATGCAGATTGCAAACATTTAAGCTGTTAACATCAGTATATGAAAGTTTAGCTAAGTCTCAGCATGCATTACCTCTGCTGCCACTGAGAGGCTACCTAGACTTTTCTGTGCTTTGTTCTCTTGTATCACTTTCAACTGAAATTCGAATTTGTAAAGACTTTAAGCCAAAGTAATACTTCAATTATTAGCAATTTAGCATGTGCTTTAAAAATGGATTTACCCTTAAGTGAAAAAATGTTCATAATGAAAAAGTGTGTATATAATATTACACTTTAGAAGAGTTAAATTTGTTAAACATGCATTAAGCCTTAAAAAAATTACTCTCTTTAGTACAGACCATTCCATTTTTCTTCTGGACTCTAAATCCCATTCCAGTTACAATGTCTTCAATCCCCTCAGCCAAATCTTTAGGTGAATGGGTTGATGTAAATCTTATCTTCCTCTCAGAGACATCCTGGAATTTTCAGAACAATGTTCATTAAATAGAGTGAACTTTCCGTAGGACACGGGACATTGTACTCAAAATATAATAAAACATATGTCCGTAAGTGTCAATAAATTTTCATCCTCCGATCCTCACCTCTTTCTCAAAAAAGCCAGAGAGGTCTAGACATGAAGACATCCCTATCAACTGAAAAGCATTGATGAGTGTTGGTGATCCTGGACCCCCCTGATATTCTAGTGACTGTTACAAAGATAAATGTTCGGAGTTAAAGATAGAAGAAAGGAAAAAAAGAAGGAAAACTAAAAGTGTAAAGTGGAAACAATTATTAATGACTTAGTTAAAAAAATATACCTCATCATGGATGGAAAAGGCTTCATCATCAATATATACATCCTCTTCCACATCTTCTGGATTAGCAGGGTTATAGCCCTCCTTGAACCATTCATCTTCTTTGATCATAGCCATTGTTATCCGGGTTTTAGGATTGGGATCAAGAATCCTCCTGATAATGTATTGGGCACCAGGTGATAGCCATCTTGGTATCTGAACATCTCCTTTAAAAATCTGTGATGGGAAAAAAATTGATATTTAGTTCATGAAACTACTAAACTAAACAACATAAGAGAAACATAGAAGCAACATATACGGATACCTTTTGATAGAGAACTGCAAGATTTCTATCATCAAAAGGAAGGTATCCTGTTAGAATTACATACAAGATAACTCCACATGACCATATATCTGATGTTGCACCATCATAGCCCCTATTGGCAAGGATCTCTGGAGCAACATAGTTGGGACTTCCACAGGTTGTATGCAGCAACCCATCTGCCTGAAATTTTCATACAGTTAAATCATACAAGTCAATTACCAAAATGATGAAAGGAAAAAGAAAAATATGTATCCTTAAATATCAGTAATGACCAAGAATTATAATTTGACACAGCAAGGAATTACGGAACACTGAAAATTAAAATATCTCAAAATTTTGAGCTCATTTCAAAATTTCAAATCAAATAAGTGGTATCTTACTCAGATTGATTGAAAAACCTACACCAATAGATAAAAACCGTTGACAGAAAACTGGAGTAACTAGTTATGTTAGGCATGACAATGCTAAGGGAAATGTGTTGTTTTTAGACATATGCTTATAAGCACTTTCTCAAGTTTCCATTGAGTTAAAAACATGAAGTTGCCTTGAGGTAAGATTCATAGGATATCTCACCCTAAAATGCCGGGGCAAAGCACTAAGGTTAAAGTCGGTTATCTTTATGTTCCCTTTGGCATCCATTAGCACATTCTCCAGCTGCAAAAAGTTACCATTTTTTTTTAAAAAGACTATAAAAATTGGTAACCATATTAGAGCATAGTTTCAACTCTAGCTGCACAATACTAAACAACAGTTCTTAGGAAGACTGGGAAAAGACCTTGAGATCCCGGTGGTAGACACCTTTATTGTGGCAATAGCTCACAACGTCAATCAACTGTTGGAACATCTTCCTACCATCAGCTTCTTTAAGTTTACCGTTGGATGCCTGTGAAAACATGTAGCTCATTCATTAATTCTCATTGTCATTAGATCATGTATATGAATAATAACAAGCAAATGCTTCTTACAATTTTGTCAAATAACTCTCCTCCATTCGCGTACTCAAGTACCATATAAATTTTGGTTTTGCTAGCCAAGACCTGCGTGATTACAGCTCCAAATCATAATCAAACATCAAGGTTTCAAAGACAAGCAGCATTTCGTCGCAAATGCAACAAATCACTTTATTGGCCTTTCATTTTTTCAGAACTAATGTTGTATCTAATAGAAAAATTATTCATGTGTTGACATCTTTTTCAGAGTTATTCCTATTCTTCCAATCTAAAAATTTTCAAATATGGTCGCTTTATGGTCCTTTCATTTAAGGATTGATGCTGTATATAATATAAAAATATTCACGCGTCTTGACCAAATAACTTTGACATAGTATCAAAGCTGTCTGTATTCTTCTATTAAAAAAAAAAAGAATTTTAGCATAGGTAAATTGGCCAGTGCATTATGCAAATTAAGATTAAACCCCTCTTGCGTTAGGGGTGTGGTATAGATTTAATATAAAGTTATTGATCTATCATCTCCTAATGGTCGATGACAGGTGCAATTCACATTCAAATTTTACTATATATGAATATATAAAATAATATACACCATATATTTGCAAGAGAGTATATGGTGGGAGCATTTGATCTTATAAATGTTATTTTATGCATATGATATGTGCTAATGATATTAAGCAGAAACATGTCGGGGCCCACCAGCATGAAACACTGTTATTGTGAGACACTAATTATTCAAGGGAGGGCCACCCCGGCTAAAGGTTTTATTCTATAGGGATACTGACAAATTATTGGTGGACACTCAATGATTGTAGAAATTAATACGTAGCTCTCATTTACAGTTTGAATACATTGCTACATGGAGGGACCATCTGATCTGAAGATGTCAATATTTTACACATAAAATGTATGCTTGCCGTGATGATAAGCAAGAACATATTGGGACCCTCCTCACATTAAAGATAGTGTAAGATGGATACACTAATTATTCCTCCTATTGCAATTTGCAACCACTAGTTTAATTTTACAAACAACACTGATAGATTATGGGTGAATACTTGATGGTTAAAAAAAAAAAAGTTAAAATATATTTTTTAACTGATACATAGTATTTTATTTTCAATTTGTCTTGTGTTTGACGTATAACTGTTCTCAATTCGGTCCTTGTTATGTGTTACTGTAACATCGTTTAACATAATTGAGTGCACGGACCAAGAAAAAATGAGTGTTACATGGAAAGATCGGTTATTATTTATGTTATATGTATTTTCAATTCGAGTCCTAAGCCATATATAATTCTATATTAATTTCAAGGTATTATAATGATAACAAATAAACGAAAATGTTTTAAAAAGTGATCATATAAGACAAAAAGAAATTAAGAATAAGTGTTGCATGAAACCTTCTAAAATAATTTGCAAGGTGTAACCCCACCGCCACTACTACTAATGACGTGCGTAGACGCAAAGCAAATTAAAACATTAATTATGAAATCTTCAAACGATATTTTAGTTTTTTAATAGAGAAAAATTCTTAGCCAAACACGATCTTAGATTGAGAGGAAAATAGTATTTTATGGTCATCTCCACCGAAGCAAAAAATATTTATTTCAATAAATTAAAGCGAAGGGGAACCGAACAATAAAATTCGAAGCATAAAGTCCAAAGGGTGAGTTTCAAGGTTCGAACATTATACAAAAGCAAACCTATAAAAAAACTTGATTCTTAACGTGTTTTGAAAGATCTTAATTTGCGGCATAATCTAGCATCACCGCAAATTATATTTTATCCCTTTGAAATAAAGTCATGCTGCTAGGGGTCCACAATTCAATCAATCCCCTTCAAATTATATAAATTGATGACGATTTTATCCAACAATTGTGGATGCCCAATAAGAATTCGCAGAGAATGGGTTGAACGTTGGTTGAAACCTCAGTGTGTGACCCAGTTCAGGAATGTGACACACAAAATATTGGTAGGGTCTAGACATAGAAGAAGCAATAATTTAGGAAATGTGGACCAAGATGTTATGGGATTCGGCTTCTGCGTGTTTGAAAGGTTAGTGGTTCATTGGTGAGGTGTTTGTAGTGAGTTTCGCTTTCTCTAATCTTGGAATCGGATTATGGATAACCACATGAACAGGTTTCCACGGAGGAAAATACAAGCCAAAGTAACTTTTTCCTTTGAAATGGACATTTGCCATAATAACACCCAAAATATAAATTCTTCCACGATCAATGATTTTAAAGTGCATCAGCTGCACTTTACACGTAAAACTCATGGCCAAGAAAAGTTATCCAATCAAGGTTGAACGAAAAATAGATTATCCACTAAGGGATCAATTCCTAACCCAGAAAATTTTTGGGAAGATGGAGAGGGGAGAGAAGAAAAAGGCAATAATACTAAGATTATAGGTGCAACCAAACAAGTGTAACAACCTTAGATTTGGAATTTATACTTTAAGTTTGTCGGATTGCAGATAGAATATGACCAATCATAGAATATTAGGATTTACCTCGTATAATCTAACGATGTTGGGATGTTTAAGGAGCTTCAAGGTGGATATTTCCCTCTTTATCTGCAATGAAAAATGAAGGTAAGAAAACTGAAAACAAGTTGTATTTGAATCATAATTATGGGGCGAAGGAAGAGAGAGGTGATGATTAAAAAACAAGACACGAATTTTGCACAAAAATGGCAAAACAAAATGGATATGAAACTCAAATATTGCAGGACCACACAGTTTTCTTCTGTGCCAGAAGATTTAATAGATTCAGGATGCTCATTGAACTCCACCCAAGTTCGAAAATGTCCAATTTGTAACACACACACACACACAAAAAGAGAGAGAATTATGAATAGAGAAATAACGGAAGCAAACCTGATCAGTGTTATTGAGGTCAATGATCTTGCTCTTCTCAAGTATCTTAATAGCAAAAAGTTTACCAGAATTGGTGTCCCTTGCCAGCTTGACTTTTCCAAAATTGCCTTCTCCAAGTGTCCTTCCTAATTCATATTTCCCAAGTCGCATTCCCTGCCCCTCTTTCTTCCTCCCAAGGTTTAAGATCACCATCACCAATTTCCCCTTTTCTCCTTTCTAATCTCTCTCTCTCTCCAATCCCCCCAAAAGGAAACAAGCCCAAAATTCCCTTTTTTTCTGTTCCGAAATTTTTGCTTGCTTATTTATGTATGGTAACAGCCAACGGCTGCAAGTGCAACCAGCTGAAACGGTCTCCAAGGAAACGGAAAACGGTTTCCCTATATTAAGGATAAAATGAATGAAAACGTTAATAATAACGAAAACGTGTCACTGAGATTACAAGTGAATCGAAATTCGGAGGATTCAACTGAACCGCGCTTCTGCTCCCTCTGCCCCTTTGTTTGATTCACACAAAGAAAGGAAATGAAAAGCTCTTCGTTGGTTCTACGTGCGTTACGTGTTTTGAAACGATTACCTGTAAATACTTCCAACGCCGTTTTACTATATACTAGTGTTTTTCTTTTATTTATTTAAAGTATTCGTTTTGGACAAATCATACTCTATAATAAATATGTATAACAATTTATATAACTAAGAGAAATAGGAAGAAAATTACAAAATATATATAAATATGATAAATAATGTAATAAAAATTGAAAGTATTATAAATTATTTTACATTTTTATTACGTGATGTATATGACATAAAATGTACGCATACTATTCATATTTTTGATTGGTTCAACAAGAGTTTCCCTACACGTAACCTCATATCACTTTCACGTGACAACTTTGGAGGGTGATTCATGCTTGATGTTTGGTGTTCTCGATAATGTTATTTTAAATGTTATTTTTGTGTGGAGTTATTGAAAATAAAAAAAATTAATTTTTACTTTGAAAATTGAGTTTAAGTAAAATTAACAATAATTAAATTTGTTACAAAATCAATTATTTATTATATTTTTAATGTAATAAAAGTTTTTCAATAAAAACTTATTATCTTTATATGTTTAAATTCGATTCTAAAAAATAAAGTTTTAAAAAATATAATAAATAATACTGTTGCAAAATAAGAAAAAAAATAATGTAGTTAATTTGTTTACAAAATTTTAATTAGAATTTATGTTATACTTAAAATGCTATTTTGTTAATTTTTTAAATTCAATCCCTATTTAAATCACTGGCAACTATTTAAAAAGTTTTGAAACAAAAATGTCAGTGGGAAACTTATTCCTATACTCCCTTTATTAGTAAATGAAAAATAATATATTCATTTGCTATTTTGTGGTGTGAGGCGTAAAATGACTGAAATGATCGAAAACAAATAAAAAAAATATAAAATTATGAGAATATGATATTTTTTAATAAAGAGCATATTAGTATGTAGCACTGTGTATCAACTAACACATTTTTATTTTATATTTTTAAAAAGAAAAAGAGTCCGAATTCCGAAGCTTAGTATTTTTAATTATTTTATTTTTAAAAATAATAATTATTTTCATTCACCCATTGTCAATAATTGAAAAATAGTGAAGTACTTTGTATAAGAAATGAAAACATGATTATTTTACTAGCTTTTCTTTGTTTCATATTTTTGTAAATGAATTATATTAATATTTTATAAATAAATAAAATGAATATAAAAGTAAGGTGTGCTTAGAATGAGGACATTATTATTAATAAAAGCATTGTATTCATGACTATTTGAACTTTTTGGTGGTCCTAATAGTGTAGATCGGTGTACGGCAGATGCCTTGTAAAGGTTATGGAGAGGAAATGTCTCTCTTAAGTGTTTGGTATTTTCTTGGTAATTGTTGCTGAATGCACTTCCTTGTAAGAGTTTGCTGATTGCTCGAGGTGTTCAAATTGATGATATAACTTGTTGCTTCTGTCATAGTTTGGAGGAACTTCCAACTCATTTATTTTTAACGTGTTCAGTTTCATCTCAAATCTGGTACTTTACTGCGCTTTGGCTTGAATTTTTACTGGTTTTGCCTCCAGATGTATCGACTCATTTGCTTTCTTGGATTGGTATTGGCTGTAGTAAAAAAGAAGGGATATGCTTATTAATTATTTGGGTAAATACAGTATGGTCTTTGTGATTACATAGAAATAAAATTGTATTTTTCAATGGTATATTGGATGAGAGAGAAGTTCTAGATTCTATTATTCTGAAGTCCTGAAAATGACTATCACTTGTTAGTAAGGGAGAAGCTATTTTGTTAGCTGATTGATATTTGAACGCACGAAATTGCATCCGTCTTAGCTTTGTATAAGTATATTTTTGTTTTTTATTTCTCTGAGTTAGTAATTTTTTTTTCTGTATATATGGGTTTTGAGTTCCCCTTAAATGTTCTCTAATAATATATGTTTTGCCTATAAAAAAAAAATTACCTTAGAATAATATTACCTATAATTAATATTACCTTGTGGTAATTAGATGTCATCGTGAATCATGTTAATATTATTTATAGGATTCAATAAAATTATCTTATAATTTTAAATTTAAATATTTTACTTTTACTTATTTTTTCTTTTTTACATACTTAATACCCAAATTAATGTTAGCAATAAATTTTAATGAAATATAACATAAATAACCTCAATTTGGATTGAAAAACAAAAGATGCCCTTATCGTACCTTAGTTACTTTTTATATATATATAAATATATCTAAATCAAAAAATAAATACTTACATCGTAGAGAAAAAAAATTTAAACAAATCTATATTGATATTGAAATTATAAAATAAATATTTGTATTTTAAAGATGATAAGTCATACACATAATAAGTGTTTTATTATCTATATCATTAGAATAAGGTTTTACATCACATGTAAGTAAATATTCTATATAAAATTATGTTAATATCTTAATGATATAAGTAAATAATTTATATTTGTGTCTAGTACAAATATTACGCAAAATTTAAAACGTCCAGTGCACCAAAAAAAGTAATAATATTCGTGTGGGATATGTTGCTTAATACAATTCTACAAAGAAATTTAACCAAATGCAGATTTACGATTTCTTTAGAAACTTGTGAGTTTTATGATACTAAAGATGAGGAGACACTACACCTTTTTTTTTTTGCATTGTGATATTTCTATGAAACTGTGGTATATGGTATTCGAATAATTTAATGTCAATATACTTCTTACTTAAAAATTTGCATGAGACATTACTGAGTATGTGTAGAATTTGATGTAAAAAAAAGAAATAAAAGAGAGTTATAATAATATGATTTGCAGTAGTATGAACAGTTTGACTTTAGAAGAATAATATTATATTTAATAATGATTTATTAAATATTAGTGAAATGTTTGACTATATTAAGTATCATTCTTATAAATAGCTCGCAAAAAACTCAATTATGTATATGTATTGGATTAATGATCATTTAACATATATTATTAATTTTCTTTAAAGATGTAATGGGTTAGAGTGTCTTTTATATTTATATTTTATATTTAATAAAATATTAATGCTTAATACAAAAAAGAGAGTAAATAACATTGTAAAATTATTTCTTCATATATAATTGATTCAATTTAATATTATACTCTAAAAAAAATTGGTGAATATTGTACATCAATATTTGTTAACATTAAAAATATTTTACTTATAAATAAAATATTTCTTAATAAATTATATTAATTAATTTTTATATCTTGAAATTTTGCGTAATATAACCTCAGGTATATAATAAGATAAAATACACTAAAAAAAATTGAAGAATTGGGAATAGTGAAAATCTATAACAATATACTAAGACTTGCAACGAGTTCATGTGTTGGGCGGGGGACCCTCAATGTTTTCAAAAGATTATATTTTTATTAATATATATATATATATATATATATATATATATATATATTTACTTATTTGATATATTGTCGTCATTTGTCCCCCTCCTTTCTATTTTTGTCCCTAAAGTGGGCCTTCTTTATTAACTAAAATGTTTAATTCATATTCCACCAAAAAATATAACATCTCCTAATAAATAGGGGGAGGGGGCATAAACAAATTTAGTATGATAAATATTTCCAAATTAAACTACAAATTAAAGAAGGAAAAAACAGCTGCCTATTCAAAAGATTTGTTTTCTTATATTAAAATTAATTTTAATTTTTTCTATTAACAAGTAATAATTGTTGAAAAAAATACAATTTAATGATAATTTTAAATATGCATCGTGCTTTATTGTAAATGATAAAAACAATTTATACAATCGTTGAAGTCTCACAACTTTCTTATGTTATAAAGAAATTTACCACTCATTATTCACATATAATGAATAACCCTGTAAAAATTGAAATATTTAATTTGTATTTAATAAATTAAAATGAGTAACATATGATGACATATAATTACTTTTGATATATTAAAAATATCATTAATTTGACATAATTTATTTATGTGATAATATATACTATTATTTGTTCATATATCTATTTAAATACAAAATATATAATGCATAATTTAATATGTAACATTTTTCATGCAACATTTTTTATTTTTTCAAGTCATAATTATGTCTTTTATAGGAGTTACAAAACATGTAATTATTGATTTTGATGAGTTGAATATTTATTTCTTATAAATTAAAGTGGAAGTAATAATTAGCAATCGATAAGCAATTTGTAACGATAAAAAAATTAATTCTGAATTGATTCTAAAGAGTTGCACTTAGCCTATAAATATAAATTACTGTAACCTCATAAGGCACATTATATTTAGGCTTTGTATCACTAGTTAAAATAAGATTAATACCATATTTTTTTGATTATTTTTTAAATATTTTACAAAGTAAATATTAAATGAAAAATAAATATATTGAGTATCTTAAAAAAAAAATTAATTTTTTTTAATAAACATATAAAATGTTATAGATACATTTATAAAAAATATCATAATTTTATAAAAATCTTAATCAATATCTTTAGAAATTCAAAAATAAATTTTAAAAAAATGAAATACATTTTAAGTTTTAATAAAAACATTATCGATTTTCAAACCAATATCCTAATATTCAAATTTCATCTATAAGAGTTTTGATAAATTATTCATATAAAGTCAATTAAAAACAAGGACATACTTAAACAAGTTGTAGTCAATCTAGTTAAAGTAGAGTAGTTATGAAAATATAATGACCACAAATTTTAAAAATGTTTAAATTAGTATATTTGAATGTTGTGCCAAAG